ACCGTCGTCTAGTCCCGATCTTAATCCGCTGGATTATAATTTATGGTCAGTTTTAGAGAGTACGGCTTTCTCTAAACGCCATGATAATTTAGAGTCCCTAAAACAAACCGTACGATTGGCAGTGAAAAATTTTCCCATAGAAAGAGTGCGTGCTTCTATTGATAACAGCTGGCCTCAACGTTAAAAAGACTGTATTGCAGCCAATGGAGACCACTTCGAATAAGCTTTTTATACTTTAAATTGTTTTATATTTATGTATTAAACTAACACACTGTAAAAGTAATAAATGTTATTTGCTAGATTTTTTTTGTTTTCCTTTGTCTCAGTATTTATGGCAAGACTAGGTATATACAGTCGGCATCGATGCGCCACTTCGACAAAGCGGCACAACACGAGAACCCTCTAACGAACATCATACTAAAGGGTATTTCAAAATGTTTTTCGTTTTTGAATTGACTACTCGATGCCATATGATCCGGATCCTTTTTTGGCTACAGAAATGCATAACCAGTATGGCTACAACCGCAACACCTTTTTCCAGCAAGATGGAGCCATTTCTCATGTTACAAATGACTCATTAGCTGCTCTCCAAGATTTACTCTCTGGAAGAGTGATAAGTCGCCGAGGAGACATCAGCTGGCCACCGAGGAGCCCTGATTTAACACCTGCTGATTTTTTCCTATGGGGCTACCTAAAAAGTTGAAGTCGTCGTGGCCTAAAGGATAAGACGTCCGGTGCATTCGTATCGAGCGATGCACCGGTGTTCGAATCCCGCAGGCGGGTGATTGAAAATTTTAGCTCCAGATTAAATGAGTGTGAACAAGTGAATGGTGCGCATTTGCAAACGGTTGTTTTTCATAAATAAACTTCAAGAACTGCTCTTTAATTTAACAACAAATAAAACGAGTTTTAATAAATATTTTTGTTTTTTATTTAAAATCTAAAAACGGAAAACATTCTGAGACATCCGTTACACCCGTACGGTAACATTCAATTAAGTGTATAATCTATGGTAACATTCTATAATAAGCGGCACGTAAGCTGGCAAGGTTTTGGTGTAGTGGGGGTAATGTCGCGCATAGTGCAGATTGCAACAAAAAAATTGTCACTTTTATTGCCCGCATATTATTTTATTTTATTTGCCATAATTTATTTTTAAGCCTGTTTGTTTAGAAGAAAGTTAAAGAAGAGTTAAAGAGGAATTCGTGAAGTGTATTAGGGGTTATAAATACAATTAAAAGTTAAGAAGTTTATTTAAAAAAATATACTTAATATTAAAAATTATGTGTCGCCGTCGTCACTATCATTTTCTAATAGTGCTACCCCTTGGATTAAATTTATGGTAGCACCTGAGCTGGTGGAAGGAGTTGGCTCCTCATCGTCGACATAACGAAGACTCGCTGTCGTCACTGGCGTAAATAATAAAACGCTCAGTGACTGAATCGACTATATGGTCATTGGTATTTGGTCCTGGCATTGCAAACAAATTTAAAACAATAACACTCGTAATAAAAACTAAATTTAAAACCATAACAACTCGTAACAAAAACTCAATATAAACAGGGTTCCTACAACTTTAGTAGGCGCATGTGTAACCGGGAGCGAACGGATGGTGGACGCGGTGCGGTAGGGGAAGGTCGACTGATTCACCAATCGCGCGCTCGGAACGGTGCTACGTCTTTACCCGCGTCCCGCTTGACCACCAAAGATACCTAAAAAACGACTTCTGCGCATCTAACGACTCTTGCTAAGTTACGTGCCGGGAACTATACCTGGTCTAGACACACACCATACCTACCTCCTACCTACATATTTTTACACTGTTTGCGTTTGGCCTTGCGTTTTGGCAAAGCTGATATTATTATAGTCGTGATGAAAATGGCGGCGATTTTAAAAACTGATGTCCAAATCTTAATGTTATTCTGAATACTTTCTACAATATACATTAAACCTTGTGAATTTATTTACGTTTTGTCATGCGATGCGGAATTTATTAATAGGTAAGGAAGTCAATTGCTCGCACTCTGGTCGCTTTGCAGCTAGCTACATTTGATCTCTAGGGGGGGACAACCGCCCCCACCTGCTACAACGCGGGACCTCATACTACGCGGGACCTCGTACAACACGGGACCTCGTACAACGCGAGACCTCGTACAACGCGAGACCTCGTACAACGCGAGACCTCATACAACGTAAAAAATTAAGCCAAAGTCAAAGTTTACATTTGTAAAGTAAAATAGTCATATGCTTATGACTACATTGTTATTTGGGAGTATGCACCATTGCGCATAACGTGTCAGGTTGGCCGTGTCGTGGATAACATATTTTATTACAAAATAACCGCTTTTTACTATATGTATATTCATATGCATGTAGTCAATAACACCTTTTGAATAATTATTATTGAAACTCTCAACACATAATTTTCATAATGACAGGGTAAACCGACAGTTTCGTTTCAACTGACCGATTGACAGACAGACTGATACTGACTGACTGTCTTACACGGACTGACTGTCTTACACGGACTGGCTGTCTTACACGGACTGACTGTCTGACACGGACTGACTGTCTGACACTGTCCACGTACCGCCATTTCATACTCTGGCGTTACGGCGTCTATCCTACATAACCTAATATTAAACCTTATGACACCGTTTATTCAAAAGCAGGATACTATCCTACGATAGTATAAGTCCAAAAGAAAGATTGGTTGTAACATTAAGATCTCTTGCAACAGGAAATTCGTATCAAGATTTAAAATTTAGTTCTTCAATATTCCAACCCCTGATGACAAAAACTATGTCTGAAACATGTCGGGCTATTTATAAATGTCTGGCACATTAAATAAAGGCGACCGAAATTAATACTTTTTATTCGGAAGCAAAAAACAAACTAAGACATCCTTACGCACGGAGAGCTATGGGACGACTGAAAGCATTATGTGACTAAATGCGACTACACCTTCCTAAATGCGTTTCTAATTAGGCTTCTAAATGATTTAGTCAGTCAGAAACCACCCTTGCTACTGAATTCAGTAGATTAACTTACTTAATGCTATTACACTTCACTGAATTCAGTAGCGACTGAATTCAATCGACTAAATTCAGCCAAGTGTAACAAGCCTTTAAATTATACTACGTACCTACCTACCATAAATCGTAATATATTAAGTGTATAATCTATGCTACTCACATCTTACCAGATTTCATGATAATGAAATGTGTGAGTGCGGCCTGAATATTGGTGATTTAAATCATATCATTCTGTCCTGTCCTCAGTATAACCACTCCATGTTATTTGATCTGATCCACTCTGATCCTTCTTCCGTATTCCGTTACCTACATCTGTTCCTGTTTTGCTTTCATCATGAAATCATAATGTATATAAAAAGTTATGTTTATTTTTTATTGTAAATAATACCTATACAATTACAAGTACATATGTATATAATTAATATTCTATTTGTTTTAATTTATTAATTACTGTTCTTTTCCTTAGCGTAGTATTCTGTATTAGAGATGGTTTTTTTTTATCCTGCTGATCCTATCCTTTATCCGATGTAAATTTCGTCCGATGTAAAATTCTTTTCCTTTACTATTCCGTGTCCTTACATATTAAGTGTATAATCTATGGTCCTTACCTTTGTCTGTGGCAATCATAGACCTATATAATAGGGACACGACATATTGTTCTATACGTACAATTGCTTATATAAATAGCACCCATTTTGAAGGCACATACATAAACATATATCTATCTCGTTCTTACTCAGCACTTTAACTCGCAGGAAAACAATATAACAGTATTTCAGTGCGTACATAAAATGAAACATGAATATACGTAAATATCTCCGTCTCCGTCTAATGAGGCCGAAAATCCGCCATGTTTAGCGCGCCAAATGTCATTGTCACGTCAGTTCGGCCGTCTGTTTTGGGTTGTACATTATTTATTGACTTTGATATCGATTTAATATGATTGATTATATAAAATTTCATAATTTATCATGCTTAAAACATACAAAAATAATAATTAAAACGTATTTTATAGGATCTCAAGAAAGTCGATGCCCTAAAACTATTATCTATATGTATTTAAATTCATTATGGAGCCCTCATCCGAAAAATCCATTTTTCGGTCGGAATCTATTGATCATGACACTAATCATAAATACCACTTTAAAATATGTCATCAAAACATATTTAGACATTCTGTTTAGATATTTCGGGAAAAAGGCTACCGACAAAATCTCTTCGGAACTATTTAAATAAAATAGTTTTATTCCGCAGTGAGTAAAACACTATTGTAAATTTGTTAAATATTTAATAATTAAGTGATTTTAGAGAGGAAGTCACAAGGAATGACGTTTGTAATTAATGAATAAATGTTCTGTAGGTGTTTTTTTTTTCACGCGGTCCCTTGATAAGTTTAAAATTTGAATCACTCTCAAGCGAAAGTGATTCAAATGGTGCGGCGCACCTTCCTTGGGGTGCGCTGCGGTAGTATGTTACGGACTTTAGAGTCAGCAAAACAATTAAAATAGATTGTAATAGTCTAAGAAAAACACGTACTCAAAATACGATAACATTTAGCATGCTAGAAATGGGCTGATGGCTTTGAACTACGCCATATCTTTATGTTTTGCGACAAACGACAACTTTATAAAATCAGTGTAGCAACTTTTAAAAATCATCATATCGTTTACTTGGCAAATTCGAAGGACGAACTTGTCTTAGATTTCACCCATCTAAATCATATCATATTTGCACATAGCAATATACCTACTTACTTCCCATTAAAGTATAAATTCTACAAATAAATAATACTCAACAATATTTAAAATAAAATGCGCCAAGAACGTTTATCGATAAAACCTGATAACATTGAAATCTTTTGTACAGCACTAAAGCCGCCATGTTTTGTGGCCAGATGACGTCACAGTGGCACGAAATTTTGGTTGACGTTTCATTTCCATAGGTTTCCTACTTCATTGGTGGCAATACGCACTGCGAGAGTCTGTGTGACGCCATAAAAAAAGAATTTTAAGCTACTGTTATTTTATTTTTATTTACATGTATACGTTAAATAGAAACGCATTAATAAACTTGTTAATTATTAAGTCTAACTTTATGTCGTGGTCTATTTTAATGAATTCAATATTAACTGTGCATTCCAAATGTCGTGTAGGATTTTATCCTAGGAGTAATTTAAAAAGATTTCCTGTTCCAGATGACAAAGTCGACTGGTCTACCGAGTATAAACAATATAATCCTCCTAATTACACATTTCCAGGCTTACATGGAAAACCATATGCAGATCCAGAAATCGGTTTGTTGTAAAGAAGCACCTTGTTATTTACTTCCCATTTATTAGATAATGAGATCATTCGATGTCGGTCTATCTGATGTTAAGCGGTTAGCCATAGACACTGCAACTTAAATGCCGCTTTCGTCCTAAGACAGGATTATAGAACGACATATTCTTTTTCAAACATTATAAACTCCAATGTAATACAACGCAACAAATTTCAGTAGGCAGCGATTTGACAGTATTTACAGACAGACATTGCCAACGACAATTATAGGTGGGCGAAAGTTCATCTACTGTCCCACTGTTCAATCTGGTACAATTTTTTTGGCACCAGAAATAGGTAGGATGATAGGCCATTCATGCAGGCTTATAACATCTTCTCCAACTAGTCCTATGTGGTAGGATAAATATGTAGGTACTATGGATAGATAAAACAGAAATAGCTCAAGGTTGCATATTCATATTTTCTGATTTTTAATTTCTTTTGTTAAATTTATCGGCAGAATAACTGTTGATCAACTTGGCCATAAGTGGTTACTGGAAAACATAGATACTGAATTGATGTTTGAAAATTAGTGAGGAAGTTAAATTACAAAATAAGTTTACTGATGTATCTCCAGTTTTAATGCTTTGTGTTAATAAACAATGCTATAATAACTCAAAAAGATTTATTGTATTTTAGGTGATCCTAACTTTGAACCTTTATGGAATAGCATTGATGGCAATATAAGTAGAGTGAGTTACAATGGACCATATCACATTGTCAATGGTTTCCCTTTAAACCCTCTGGGACGTACTGGTATCTGTGGTCGAGGTGTTTTAGGACGATGGGGTCCTAATCATGCTGCAGACCCAATTATAAGTCGTTGGAAAAGACTTGACAATGGAAATATGGCTGTGGGTGTAAATAATAAGTAAATTATTGTTTCTGTAATATCAAAATGGCCAAATAATGTAACTAAAAAGATGAAGATCCTTAACATATATATTCATTTACATTTTCAGACCTATATTACAATTTATAGCTATAAAACGGGGTGACACTGGAGAGTGGGCTATACCAGGTGGTATGGTGGATCCTGGTGAAAAAGTTAGTGAGACTGCTATAAGAGAATTTAAAGAAGAAGCTCTTAATTCATTAAGCCTGACAGGTTTGTCTTATTTACATTACCTTCAAGAACCGATTAGTATATAGGCCACCTGATAAGGGTTCACCATTGCTCTTGGACATTAGCAAGCCTTAGCCTACTTTTCAAACCCCATTTGAAGGGTATGTTACGAATAATCTTATCAAAAATCCCAAAGCGCATACATAGCTCCGATCGCGATGTGAAATACTGCCCTCTGTAATGCATTTGGGTTTGAAGGATAGGGCAGTCGTTGTAACTACACTAAGACCTTAGAACTTCTATGTGAAGGTGGGTGGCGCATTTACGTTGTAGATGTTTATGGGCTCCAGTAACCACTTACAGGTGGGATGTGAGTTCTTCCACACATCTAAGCAATAAAAAATAAAAAACTAATACCTGGAAAGACAATGAACATATTTTTTTTCCACCTATGCTGATAGCCTTGAGAGGCTATTTCAGCTTCACCCTAACATGCAGGTGAGCTCACGGGGCTCAAACCCGAAGTGCTGCTAACAGTGACCCTAGCAACAGCAGTGCTTCGCAGAATCTACCACCGGATCGGAAATGCGACCCACTGAGAAGATTCGGCGAGAAACTCAGTGGGCTGTGTCTATGGGTCAATTCGCTCGTCGAGCCCATCGGCGCAAGCGACGGGTTCGACGAGGACGGTGACCAATAATGTAGATGAAGTTGATGGTTCCTGGAAATAATGATGGGCACTACTCTGGTGGTAGATGATAAAATGAAAATGATGGGATCTCAAATTAATGTTCAAAATTCAATAAACCTACTTTTATTAGAAAAACACTTTTCAAACTTGTTTCAGATAAGATACAATGGGAGAAAGAAATAGATGAATTCTTTAGTGAAGGTGAAGTAATATATCAAGGTTATGTGGATGACTGTAGGAATACTGACAATTCTTGGATTGAGACCATAGCATACAACTTCCATGATGAGAGTGGTTTAACTGTTGGTTTATTAAAACTTCATGCGGGAGATGATGCTGTAGGAGTACGTTGGGTTGACATTACTCCTGACTTAAAACTGTATGCAAGTCACACAGAAATTGTTAATTCAGTTTTAAAATTAAGAATAAAAAATTGAAACAAAAAATATTTTATAATTTTATTTTCTACAATTATAAAAACTAATGATATATAGAAGTAATGGTCGCTGTGTTTAGGATTATTACCAGACATAAATTATGTTGTCATATACACAATCTGTATAAATGCAAGTAAATGTTTTTCAGACAAAGATATAGATTTGCATGGAGTGTATAGTTCATTTATTAACCCTTTCGCTCCGATCGTCTGCTCTAGACGGCATCCGCGTGCTACCGCTGGATCATCAACCTCACGATATTCTTGTTTATAGATTCCTGCACATCGATGGCACTTGTCTCGATCTCTTAACTATGTATCATATATTTATTTTTAATTGTTGAGAATTTTAATTTGACATATTAAATATGCTGCATTATCTTTGTATTGTTTTATGTAAAACAAAGAAGAGTACGGAGAATGACAAGAATGCACCGAAGGACGAATGCCCAATTTATTTATGCGCAAGATTCACACTATGGCACTGCCGTAGTGGGTTAAATGAAATTTAGTCAAAGTACATGACTTTAACTGACTAATTCGTCATCTTTCATTACTTTTAACCCTCGCTTTTATCGAATTAAATTAAAAAATATATAACAAGAACTTTTATGCACATTTTAAGACGTGGTAAGAGGCGTCAAATTATTTATGATAACATTGTATGATAATTGATGTATATTCAACGGATACAGAGTATTTGTAAAAACAATAATTCGTTATGAATTATGAATGTGTTGTTGTGTTTTGTTTGTCTTAAGTACTTATTATAATATCTATATTTTACTTTACCTAATATTATTACATACAATACGCACCGCAAATTATTCCGACATAACTCGAGGTATTCATTTTTTAATTTAGGCACTTACTTGCGAAAACACGTAAATATACCACCAAAACATAATTATATTTGTTATGCTGCGCCCATAAAATGACTAGTTCTAAATGATTGAACTCCAAACTTAGAAAGCGGATAATATACTTTTAATGAAGAAAAAAAAGATAAAATAAATGCAAACACAGTGGTGTGATCTCGCATCTCAATGTGAAAAACGCCAATTGGTAACTAATCTAAGAACAAAAAAATCGTACATTTATTGTATTATTAGTAGGTACGTTTGATCAATTTATCATTCTGTTTCTGTGTAATTTTTTGAATTTTCTTTATCACCTAAGAAATGCTTTATTTTGAACGATTTTTAAGTTAGGTTAGGTTGTGACCCCAACAAACTGCACCACGGGCATCTTCAACAATCGGTCAGGGCAATCTAGTAGATAGTCCCCGGCACGTAACTTGGCAAGAGTCGCTAGATGCGCAGAAGTCGTTTTTCAGGTCTCTTTGGTTGTCAAGCGGGACGCGGGGAAAGACGTAGCACCATTCCGAGCGCGCGATTGGTGAGTCAGTGGACCCTCCCGCACCGCGTCCACGTGCCGTTCGCTCCCGGTTACACATGCGCCTACTAAAGTTGTAGGAACCCTTTGTTTATATTGAGTTTTTGTTACGAGTTGTTATTATTGTTTTAAATTTAGTTTTTTGTTACGAGTGTTATTGTTTTAAGTTTGTTTGCAATGCCAGGACCAAATACCAATGACCATATAGTCGATTCAGTCACTGAGCGTTTTATTATTTACGCCGGTGACGACGGCGACTCTTCATTATGTCGACGATGAGGAGCCAACTCCTTCCACCAGCTCAGGTGCTACCATAAATTTAATCCAAGGGGTAGCACTATTAGAAAATGATAGTGACGACGGCGACACATAATTTTTAATATTAAGTATATTTATTTAAATAAACTTCTTATCTTTTAATTGTATTTAATTTATACTTCTCGAATTCCTCTCTTTTCTTTAATTTTCTTGTACACACAGAGGCTTAAAAATAAATTATGGGAAATAAAAAAATTAATAAAATTAAATTAAACTACATACGGGCAATAAAAGTGACCATTTTTTTGTTGCAATGTGCACTATGCGCGACATTACTCCCACTACACCAAAACCTTGCCAACTTACGTGCCGCTTACTATACCGGCTACCACGATAAAATATACACCTATTTTGTGTTAACGCTATGAACGGTGAAAAGTTTCATCAAGTTCTATGAAATGTATCTTCTCTAGCTAAGTGTGGTGGTGGAAAAAATAATAATAAAAAAAATGTGAGCCGTCACGAGACGCCTGGCAGATGTGAAACATCGACATTATTTTGTAAAAGTAATATGCAGAAAAGAACATATTGTGATAGGAACTAAATATGTCATAATAATAAAATAAAATATTACGAAAAAATAATTTGTTTTCAAGTAAAACACAGGTTATGTGTACTGTAGTAAACAGCACTGTATACACTACGGAGTATACACTATAGGTATCCGAGCTCAGTGTAGCGAGAGAGATGGCCTAACGCCGGATCGAGTGGGAGAGAATCGCACAGTCGATTACGCATGGCGACGCGTCGCCACTCCGTACACACTACTGCATATAGACTGTATATATATACCACCATCATATAGCGTGGCGACGCGTCGCCACGGCATGCGTCGCCTCGCCAGAAATCGGATTTATGTTTCACATCCAAAGTCTAGTTTGGTGGTTGAGGTTCCTGACTACTTTCCTACGGGATATGAATGAGATTGCCGGACTGATTACCTTTGTAATGGATATTTGGTAGTTGAACAGCAATACAACTGGTAATTGGGAGTTCTAGCCCAGAGATGTACAATGTTTGTACAATGTGACAATATTTTAGAAGCGAATTTAGTTTGACTTTCCACGTGAAATTCCTCATTTCCTCCTGTTGCAATGTTCAAAATATTTTTTTTTATCAAAATACGTAAGTTTGATTTTTTTGAAAAAAAAAAGGTTATTCAAATGTTTTCATGAAAATGTACATGTATGAAAATACATATAGTAAATTGTTAATCCTAAGTTGAATTGTAGATCATAAGTTGTCAGTGGTTATGCTCAAATTTCCACAACTGCTGGAATACTAGTATGTATAAATTAAGAACTGTCAGAGAAACTTTTTTAACATAAACGTCCTCATATCCTAAAAATTAAAGAGAAAAATATATTTTACTAAGAACATTGCCTACTTTTTTTTGGGACATGTACATTTTATTGATGGAAAACCAACATATATATTATTACAATTAATAGATATTAATGCAGCAAATTGATATATAATTCTAGTGATTTCAATTCCAACATCAATAAATACAGAGCCTAAAATGAAGATTCTCTAAAGAAAGTGACGTTATTGGAGAAGACATTTCTCAAGTTGTTATTTTCAAAAAAAAATTTTTACAAAAATACTATATTAATCTGAAATAAAGTGAATTTTATAAATTCATAGCATATTGAACAATTCCCGAGTTTACTACACGAGTAGTGTAGAATGGACTGACAGTGATATCACACTTCCTTACGTACATTGGCTGGAGACATCAGGTGGCCATGTCGACCGGGGCGGCCGCGTTGTAGGCGCGGTAACAGTTCACGTCGTTAATTAGCCGATGTATATTCTGTGTAAACGTAGGGAGATCCTAAAACAAGAATTTTAATGTTAAGTTTTTTCATACTACCGCCATTACTCGACAAAATAATTTGTTTAGCAAAACGTTAAATTTTATGAATTATTACTTAAAATTAACGGCAAAATTGAAAATATTATTTTAATAGTATATGTTGTTAAGGTAATGTTATAAATTACTATTGATATATCCAAAAATATACACAACGTTACCCATGTGAAATGTTTAAGTGATGAATGTTTAAGTGAAATATTTTCTGCTTTTTCCTTACATTTCATTATTAAGCAACGAAAACAATATTGGCTTTTCGTAGTTCTAGTGTATTTATACAGATCAGGTGGTTTGCGGTATATGCTAGTAAGTATCATTTGTATAATTCATTAATATTCTTATTAACTACACGACGGTCAATCTACAGGTCGATGTAATAAGGCATGACGTACAGTATCTGGTGGGAAGTTCTCGAGGTACTGCAGGTGGTGCGGCGCGAGGCCGGGCAGCGAGCGCAGGAAGCGTGGCAAGAAGGCGAGGCGGAACGCGGAGAAGTCGACCGCCGCCATCGCGTGCACCGCCGCCGTCAGCTCGTCGCGCGCCAGCCCGCGCCAGCCGCCCTCCGCCAGCCCGCCCAGTGCCACCGACAGGAACTCGCACAGGAACTCCGAACGGAATATAGCCTGACACCAAGTACAGGGTGTGTTTTTATGTAATAAAGTATACCTTTACAGTGCCTTTGTACATAATTTTCCTATTACTCTGTAATATATCTTCTTACCTGTGTGTACATAAATAAATAAATAAATAAATAATGAATACCTCAACATACAGCGACAACGACAGGGACTCCGAACGGAATATAGCCTGACACCAAGTACAGGGTGTGTTTTTATGTGGCCCTCCTCGTCCCCCTCTTCCTCTCAGGAGGCGCCGGAGTCCGACATAGCCCGGTTCGTTACCCCCCCGCACCGGGTATCCGTAAATGGATTCCCCCGCGTTAAAAAAAGGGTGTGTTTTTATGTAAAAAATACCTCAAGTACAGCGACAACGACAAGAACTCGCACAGGAACTCCGAACGGAATATAGCCTGACACCAAGTACAGGGTGTGTTTTTATGTAATAAATACCTCAACATAAATAGATCACAATATTCATTTAACAGTTCGAAATTTAGTGTGACTGTAACTTAATTCCAACAAATCGAGGAGACGACCTTCGTATTAACTGACTAATATTGTCTTTATTCGTTAATCGTGTGATTCAAGATATAAATAAAATCAACTCAAGATTCTGAGAGAACTTTCGTGACTTCAAATCAAATATTCATTATGTTCCTTACTTAAAATTCAATTAAAACGATAACAATATATTTCTTCTAAATATAAACCTATATTAACGTTTAAAACACCAGAACTGCTGCACCTTAATTTTCTACGTACGTACATTCTACGTATATTACTGGTGGTAGGACCTCTTGTGAGTCCGCGCGGGTAGGTACCACCACCCTGCCCATTTCTGCCGTGAAGCAGTAATGCGTTTCGGTTTGAAGGGTGGGGCAGCCGTTGTAACTATACTGGGACCTTAGAACTTATATCTCAAGGTGGGTGGCGCATTTACGTTGTAGATGTCTATGGGCTCCAGCAACCACTTAACACCAGGTGGGCTGTGAGCTCGTCCACCCATCTAAGCAATAGAAAAAACACACATAATATGATCATTTTAAAATAAGTAGACTTAGTGTAACTACATTGTCACGCAAGACGTTTCCCGAACAACTGATATCAACAACGAATATCATGAGAGTATTATACTTAGTCTGGCCATAAATACTGTTACAATTAAAAATAAACAAAATATTACATTTGAATTTGGAATCTGTAATTTTTATATGATTGCTCATTGAGTTTTCTCATTTTGGCGCCAATACATTGTACAATATTTTGCGATATTAAAATGGAGTGGGGTGATAAAGAAAACCGAATCGCTGTGATTGCATTACACAAAGTAGGTATGGAGCCAAATGCAATTTTGAAAACTCTCCATACGCTTGGTATTAGTAAAATCTTTGTGTACCGGGCTATTAGTAGGTGCAATGAGACCTCTGTTTGTGACAGAAAAAGATCTGGCCGTCCACGTGTTCGTACGAAAAAGGTGGTCAAAGCAGTAAGGGAAAGAATTCGAAGAAATCCTGTCCGAAAGCAAAAGATTTTATCTCGGAAGATGAAGATAGCACCTAGAACCATGTCGCGTATTTTAAAAGATGACTTAGGACTTGCAGCCTATAAGAGACGTACTGGTCATTTCTTAACTGATAATTTAAAAGAGAATAGGGTGGTAAAATCGAAACAATAAAAATGAAATTTGTAAGTAAAAAGTATATATTCAAGTGAAACTTCTTTAGAATCGCTGTGATTTCAAACTCATAAAAATATCATATGAATTATAAAATAACAAGAAATTATCATTTACTTACATTTTCACATTTTCTGTGGGGGCGATTTTTTTTCCTCAACTGTATATTACACATTGATAAATTGAATAAATGATGTTTAAATTAAATTTTTAGTTATTGTTTTCTTTTCAAAATTATCATGGGGGCTATAATATGAAAGATGCTAAAAAGAAGCGATTTCGTTTTTTTTTTGTTCTTCGCCATGGGGTAATATCAAGTTACACAAAAATATTTTGCGGTAATAATTAAAAAAGTTCTCCGACCGCTGATCTATGTAGTGTAATACGTAAACTCACTTTATGATAGAGTTTCCACTTGCTGTTGAGCGTCTCGAGCGTCGCGATGTTGAGCTTGAGCAGCTCTATGTCGGGCAGCAGTAGCGCGCGCCCGAGCGCAGACAGCGCGCCGCGGAACTCGTCCGCGCGCCGCCCCCCCTCTGCCGTGTCGCACTTGTGCGGGAAGAAGTATCGCCACCGATGAATTAATACGCTACAACAAAATCTATCCATTACTACATATGTAGTATAAAACAAAGTCGCTTTATCTGTCCCTATAAAAAATATATATACATTTTTAAAAATACATTAATACCGCATTTACGAGATCATAAAAGTTTCAATTAAAATTAAAAAATTTTTAATTTTTATTTTTATTTTAAGCGATCGCGCCCCTGCACAGTTTTAATTTTATGTTTTAATTTTTCTTTATCATAACCATGAAGTATGTTCTATAGCTGTGTTTTCGTAACAAAATATTTTGATAAACTTATAGAATTTGCGATAAAGTCAGCATAATTTGATACTATATCCCTCGCACAAAAAACAATCCTTTACTACAGAAGTTCTGTATTTATTATAGTAGAATAAAGGCCTAACATTATTATAATAAATCTTTAAATATAAGTAAACAGTTCAACAATACAAACATTAAACAAGTGTTTCAAGATCTTTATAGCTTGATAGTAATTGATTTTTTTTTATTGCTTAGATGGGTGGACGAACTCACAGCCCACCTGGTGTTAAGCGGTTACTAGAGTCCATAGACATCTACAACGTAAATGCGCCACGCACCTTGCGATATGAGTTCTAAGGTCTCAAGTATAGTTACAACGGCTGCCCCACCCCTCAAACCGAAACGCATTATTGCCTCACGGCAGAAATAGGCAGGGTGATGGTACCTACCCGCGCGGACTCACAAGAGGCCTTACCAGCAGTGTGTTATTGCCCCCACCTGGCTAGCAGTGCGTGCGCGGCCCGCGCGAGGTCCGGCGCCAGGTGCGAGGCGCGCGGCAGCACGTGGCGGTGCAGCAGCTCGAGCACCACGTCCACGCGCACGCCGCCGCCGCCCGCCTCCACGCCCAGCCGCACGCACTGCACCAGCCGCTCCAGGCTGCCCTCCGTGCCGCCCCTGCAAGCGCACAACCACAACCGTCTTACTACTACCGACCGAACCAACCTAATATCACAAAGCTGAGCCGCGGCCTTTTTATCTCCACTGTGTTAGTATAATGTACTAGCCGTACTCGCCCTCTTCGCTGGGCATTTAAAATTAACATTATTATTTATTGTCATTATTATTAGGGAGTCCAACAGTCATATAAATATTAGCCTATACGTTAAGTAAATGTATTTTCTACACGGATACCAAGTTTCAAGTCAATCGGATGCATGGTTCAGTAGTTATAACGGAACATCCGTAAACACCACTGTAGATTTATATATTAGTATAGATGTACTAAAGCCCATAGATTCTGATATTGGAGTGTTGTTGCCATCCCTGCGCTCATCCGCAGTACGTTTATTTTGTGACGTAGCCACGACCTCTAGAATGAAATCACCTTTACAGTGTTTTCCGGATACTATTGCATGTCCTTGTAATATTGTTTAGAATTAGAATTTTTATGTCATATTAATTGAAAATTTATTTGTATTTGTATTGTGGAGTGAATAAATGCAATTATTATTATTGTTATTTTTATGTGAGGTCATCAGCGCAAATGTCGCCTAACCCATAATTTTTCATATAGGTGCTTGTATGTGTATTGCAATTTATTTAAAACATAATAAATTTTGACGTAAAACCGACCTATCCCTAGTTTCACCCATAGATAATAGATGGCCTTGTAAACATTATTTTTGCGCGTGTTATTTTTGCGTACGAAGCAGTGTAAAAGTAAATTCAAATCTCATTATTTCCATACTACATTTTTTTTGAAGGGTGGGGCAGAGACTTCAGAACTTATATCTCAAGGTGGGTGGGGCATTTACGTTGTGGATATCTATGGGCTCCAGTAGCCACTTAACACCAGGTGGGCTGTGAGCTCGTCCACCCATCTAAGCAATAAAAAAATATTTACTAACCTTGGTAAGCTTAGGCCACTTTTGCACTGACGGCCTCACATGTCATTGTGGGAATAACCACGAAAGGGAAGAATTTATCCGCTCGGTGGACCGACGGTCCGAATGTTGTTGTTCGGAACTTGTATATATGCACGCTTATATTGATAATGTTGTAAGCGAGATACAGGAATCTGTCAAATATCTTGTATTGTATGGTGGCTACCCGCCACATCATCTTAGCAATTTGACTGTCTCTTTAGTGGTGGTAGGACGTCTCGTGAGTCCGCGAGGGTAGATACCACTGCCTATTTCTGCCGTGAAACAGTAATGCCTTTCAACTGTTAAAAGTGAGACTTTACAACTCAGTGACTCAAAGGTAGGTGGCGGCATTTACGTTGTAGATGTCTATGGGCTCCGATTATCACATAACATCAGGTGGGCCTTGAGCTCGTGCACATATCTAAGCAAAAAAAATGATAAAAAAACCAATATACCTCTGAGCTACATCAAGGAACACGTCGATGGCGGCGTAAGTAAAGTTTCCGAGCTGTGGCAGCAACGCGGTAAAAAGTGCTAGAAAGAAATCCGTTATCTCGGTCTCTGCGGCCGCATACATTCCGCTAGGCTCGCACAGCATCCGAAGCGCAGTTTCCGCTGCGTTTTGTATGCCTTCCGCTATTATCTGTGGTCGTTATAATAAAGCAGTATTAGCAGAGACTTTTTGGCGGGAGCGCGAGGAGTGAAGAAGTTGTGTGATTTGTTTTATTTTGTCTATTTAGTGTTTCTTCAGGTTTAAATGTGTAATAACGGTGGTTTATTAACTGTTTAATATCTGTGAAAGTGCACAAATGTGGGAAAATGAAACAAAGCCGCTGCACGTAACTTCTTGGAATCCTGACCACCATTTTACTGAGATTATATTTCATCCCATATCATCAACATTTCATTTAATTTCATCCAAATTTCACTCCATATTATCATTTTTCATAAAAATAAGAATATAAATTAAAAATAAAACATGACTTAAAGGTCTCAGTAACCAGGTCATAAAATCATTTTTAAAAAAGCAGTATTAGCAATATCCTCGATTTTGTTATTCAATCTTACGGTGCAGTTCGGAATTGAAACAAGTTCTTATCTTAAGAACTGTGTACTATGAAGTAGGTATTCTATTGGTAGGAAAGTAATATATTCTATTTTGAAGTGATAGCCATTTTACAAATGCAATTAAGAATTTAACCTTCTTCAAAACCGAGGCGCCGTATGCAACGTTCTTTTTTATTTGTTGAAGTGAGAACTTCTTTAGAATCGTTGTGATTTCAAACCGGATGCACCGGAAAAAACGACAGGTAAGAGACACAAATACAAAAGAATGAGACAGAAATATACATACTATTTAATACAGCGCCATCTGTGAGATTTTTTTAATACTAACGTGTGTAGGAAAGCTCTTGTAGTGAATTTTAATTTAGGATTATACGTGAAATTAAAATATCAATTCACAGAGGGCGCTACCTTACAATTATTTACTAATGACAAAATTTTAAGACGTTTAGGATAATTGTATTTTAATTTTGGAAGGTTTCACTTCTACCACGTGTGAATTGCGATTCTACACATGTATTTTTTTTTTTTATCAATATCTGGTTATTATAAACATTTCTCTGTTGTTTGAACATCCAATACTAAAATATTTAAGCGTTCTAAAATTGAAATTCATCTTCATTAAAGGGCCCTGGTAAACAATAAAATTGTTTGTCAAATTATTGAACAATACGCAGCTTTGTTTGACGTGTTTGATGGAAATCTTGATTGACGGCGTGTTTGACAATCAAGTTTGAACGTGTATGGGGGTGTTTGTCAAACAAGATCCCAGTCGTTGCTCGACGCGACGTCTCGTTACGGCAAGGATAAAACCGAATCTAAGGGCAAGTTAACAAACTCGTTTGATCTTTGATTTGATCGTTTAAGCTATTGTTTGATGAAAACGTAAAGTTTGACAAACAAATTTGATCGTTTACAGGGCGCTTTAATGTTTAATTTATGATGCAGTTTATTTATTTCTTAAAATAAAGATTAATGTTTATAATCTATGCACTCTTCAACCGTTGTCTTCGGCGCGCCAGGTAAGATTCCTATCATAGTATCGTCAACGTACAATAGAGGGCACTTGAATAGCTTCAAGAAATCACGAAGGGAGACTGGGGTTGAAAAATATTTTAACGATCCAATTTCGCGGTTTTTACTGTCATTATATTGTTACAGTACCACGAAAATTAAAGTATTTGCAACGTTGGAAATTAATACCAATAAAAAAAAAAACGAGAGTTAATCGTAAAAATAGTTTTCTTTTTAAAGGACTGTCACTTTTTATAGGGTGATTTCTGGATGACCATTTTATAAGTTTGTTCATGGTTGGGTGCTGTACCTTTTTGGAGTGCGTGGATGCGTCCGCGAAGGCGTGGAGCAGCGCAGTGAGCGGCGGCAGTGCGGCGCGCGGCGCGGCCCCCGCCCCCGCCCCCCACGCCGCCACCAGCGCGCGCGCACGCTCGCCCGTCCCGCGCACGAACAGCGACACCAGCGCCTCGCGGACCGCGCCCGCCGTCTGTCGGACACACCGTCTTTTCGCATTAAAAGTGTACAATTTCCAAAAATATTCGAAATCGAGTTAACATATTTTCCTAATAAACACTGTCAAAAGAGCGTTGTATAGTTTTAGCTTTTTTTTTAGTTCACCTATATTTTGACAACTATTAAAAAAAAAAACATAATTTTATCTTACTTTACAAGACAGATAATGTAACTGGTAAAAAATAAAAAATTAATGTTGTAAAAATGATTGATATAAAAATATCATATGTTAAACCTTTAAAACACTAGGTTGATATGATGCGCCATGTGCACTATTAGCCTATCCTACCCTACCCGGGGGCAGAACTATCATAATCATATTTTTCGTATACATTAATAAAAAAAAAACAAAAGCGTCTTGTTTATAAGATAAGTTTGAAAACAAAAAAAAACACCCGTTAACCGCAAACCAAACTAAAAATTTAAATAGTAGTTTTTATTATAATCAGGATGTAAAGTATAGAAATAAAAACAAAAATTTAAATAGTAGTTTTTATTATAATCAGGATGTAAAGTATAGAAATAAAAACAATGTCATCGGTACTAAATAGTGAGTACGATACGTTAGATCGCATTTAATTTCACTGGTTAACACAGTACATTGAATATTAATATTCACTTTTCTTGCGCAGTCACTACGATCACAACATTTTATTTGAAATCAACCTAAAGTCCGTCTCGTGTTAAGATAATATGACGCCGTCCTTAGAAACATCCGTTAATTTACACAAGTGACAAAATCTTTATTAATGGAAAATTTTAGCATGATCAATAAAATCGATTATTGAATTGATTATTGAATCATAAATGTTTTAATTCGATTACCTACTTTAAACTTGACATATTATAAACTACTAGCTGTACCTGTCCGCTTCGCTGGGCATTTAAAATTAACATTATTATTTCTCACCCCCACAAAGATTCTCATCATTAACGCCGCCGCAACTGGTGTAGGGAGTCCAACACTCATATAAATATTAGCCTATCCATTAAGTACATGTATTTTCTACATGGATACCAAGTTTCAAGTCAATCGGATGTATAGTTCAGTAGTTATAACGGAACATTCGTAAAAACCACTGTAGATTTATATATTAGTATAGATATCTCACTTTCGGTTCCAGGTAGTGCAGGGAGCGTTGCGCGTGATTGTACAGTTCGCCGACGAGCGACATGGGATCACTTGTCAACTTAACGTTTTTCGATAAACTCAGTAGCAGCTGCGCAGCCGCTTGGCACAGTAACGGAGGTTCCTGTAACAGAAGCCGCGAGTTCGATATATTTATTTATATTTATATTTTATTTTATTTTAATACTAACAATCACGCCACGTCAACTGGTCCCGTGATAAGTTCGTAAAGACCTTGTATTACAGGTACCAGATAACGGAAATAAATGCAAGATTTTTATTATACACATTCATATATTTAATATACATCCATAACCCTGGAAAAGACATTTTATATTTATCATACAAATATCTTCCCTTGGCGGGGTTCGAACCCGCGACCCTCTTGTGCAGTGACCATGTCACTTATCAATGCACCAGACGGCCGTTAAATAATCATCATTTGAGTAAAATTGCCAGTTCACATTTTAGACACTGTTCTATTAAGAAACTGTCTTTTTTATTGTTCAAATAGACGGATGAACTCACGGTCCATATGCTTTTAAGTAGTTATCACAGCTAATAGTCATAAACAACGTAAATTGCGCCACCCACTTTGAGAGATGAGTTCTAAGTCTCAGTTATTACAGTACAACGGCTACCCCAACCCTTCAAACCGAAACGCATTACTGCTTCACGGCAGAACTAGGCAGGGCGGTGTATCTACCCATACGGGCTCACAAGGTGCCCTAATACCAATCAGAAAGAAGAGGGTCTTAGATGAGTAAATTTTAAAAGTTTAATGTTAGCTGAACCTTGAGAGCATTATCATTTAGACTATAATTCTGTTACGTCTTACAGGGATATCACGAGGTAGCAGAAAAGGCACCGTAGACGAGAACAGGCCTTCCATAGTTTGTACGGGCACGCCGCAGTCCGTCGCGTAACAGCACCAAGCGCCCATGCACGCGAACATCTCGGCGTGACTGGAATATGTTCAGTGCGCTTAGTGAGAGTTTTTTAACGTTCTCGATAGCGTAAAAGTTTACTCAAATTCCAATGCAGTGGGAACAGCGCCCCTAGCGGCAAACGTAGGCAAACGTTCCAACTCCTTATACACATATGACTGTCGGCACTTGAACCATTGTACCATGGTTTACTTGCGGACTAAATAATAATAATAATAATGGTTGGTTCGAAGTAAGTATCAGTTGAATGGAATATTTGAAATGTATTCAACTGATAATTATTTTTAATAAATGTATCTTTTTTATTTGATTGGTGTTGCTGGATTTTAAATACTACGTACAAATATGGACTTGTTGTAGGCTGAAAAAAAAAATTTGGTTGCACAAACTCATACAGACCTACATTATTTCTTAACTAAAGAATGGGCATCCGTTTCAAATAGTTTCATCTAATTTCCTTCATAATTAATTTCGTTGAATCTGGAGATCACTAGTATACAAAAGTATAGTATAATTGAATATGCAATTTCGAAAAAGGCACATCTCTGAAAATGTAAAATGTTCAGGAAATGAAAAAAACTGATTATTTTCTAAAGCAGTGTAAAATTTAAAATATTACCTTTTGAGATATATTTTAATGTTAATTAGAAATTGAAAATTACTGGAATTATAATAAAATGTGTGTAGGTAAGCCTCAAAACTACATGTATATGAAAAAACGTATTTGACAAAATATGCGACATGTGGACTTTTCGAAATTGCATATTCAATTATTTGTATGATGACATTTAGATAATATAGGGATTATATATAAAATTGTTTACATGTGCAGTAGAGCACGGGCGTAGTGCGGAGGGTGGCCGCGGGCGATGGGCGGCGCGGCGAGGGCGGCGCCCGCACGTTCCAATAGCACGCCGCCCAGCTGCACCGCCGACACGCGCCTTCCGCTCTCCGACTCTAACAATAAAGAACAAAAAACATCAGTGAAGTGTATATGGTTAAAATTATTCTTTCATAATTATAACATATCAACCTCAGTGTGCTTAATGCGAGTTTTTTAACGTTCTCGATAGCGTAAAAGTTAGCTCATATTGGTATGGAATGGGATCGTTTGCGTACGTTAGCCGCTAGGGGCGCTGTTCCAACTGCATACAAAATTGGGCAAACTTTTACGCTATCGCGAAGCAACCGATGTGTTTTCAGTGAAAAAAAATATGACGTAACTCTAAAGCCTCGATATATTTATAATGAGGTTTAAATATATATGTATATAAACACTGTAAATTTTAACTTTCTGATATTATGAAAAATGGCATATGGAAACAAAGCACTTCAATTTAGAATTTTTCCCTATAAACCTTATTTGTAGCAATACGAATGTTTAACTAAATGTCAAAGTGTTATAGCTGTTTCCAAGTGAGATGCTTACCACCGACGAATAGCATTTCGATCGTACAGAGTAGTCACATACGATATGTTTACATACGATATTCTCTGCTAATTGAATAGGAAAACTCTCTTCGTATCACCCAACCTTATCATATCTCAATAAAAAGTCATAGTAAAAAAATTACCAGAGAATGAGCAGCCCACGTTCGTAAAATACTAGCGTACTACAATCGTAAACCGATATTACTGGTTGTAGAACGTATAGCCCACAATAGTAAGTACCACCATCCCGCCTATTCCTGTCAGAGATGCGTTCCGGTTTAAAGAATGGGACAGCCATAACTATACTTGAGACCTTAAAACTTATATCTCAAGGTGGGTGGCGCATTTACGTTGTGGATGTCTATGGGCTCCAGTAACCACTTAACACCAGGTGGGCTGTGAGCTCGTCCACCCATCTAAGCAATAAAAAAAAATGCAATACGATTGAGACTTAGACCCCATGTTTCAAGTGTTTGGTTAAACTATCCTTAGTAGTGAACGCGTAACGATATAACATACCGGAAAGCAGCGCAGGAGCGAGTCGTCCGAGCACGCGGGTGAGCACGGCGAGGTCGAGCAGCGCCACGAGCAGGCGCTCCCCCTCCGCGCCCGCCGCCGCGCCCGCCCGCCACGCCGCGCGCCCGTGCACGCCCACCAGGCACTGCCACCGCTCCAACTGACACACAGACAGTTTAATATTACGAAAGAGCTAAATTTTTGTCTTCGTAATAGGTTTTTTTATTTTTTTTATTGCTTAGTTAAGTGGACGAGCTCACAGCCCACCTGGTGTTAAGTGGTTACTGGAGCCCATAGACATCTACGACGTAAATGCGCCAACCGCCTTGAGATATAAGTTCTAAGGTCTCAAGTATAGTTAAAACGGCTGCCCCAGCCTTCAAACCGAAACGCATTACTGCTTCACGGCAGAAATAGGCAGGGTGGTGGTACCTACCCATGCGGACTCACACCAGGTCCTACCACCAGTAATTACGCAAATTATAATTTTGCGTGTTTGATTTTTATAACACGATGTTATTCCTTCACCGTGGAAGTCAATCGTGAACATTTGTTGAGTACGTATTGCACTAGAAAAATTGGTACCCGCCTGAGATTCAAACACCGGTGCATCGCTCAACACGAATGCACCGTACGTCTTATCCTTTAGGCCACGACGACTTCACAGAATAATTGATAGTATACCAAGACGATAATCAAGAAACTAGCACTGATTTATAATACACCTACATTTTATTATTTCACCACTGTCATTAAAATTTATTTTAATATTTAAAACTAAAATCATTGTAAATAAAAAATATAAAAATAAATTGAAATATTCCACAATATGCACTTAGGATACTAACGACGCAAGTGAATACGTCCAAAGGCGCCAAATCAGCCACTCTCGCCACACATTCAATGCAATGTTTCAGGAATGTCTGATATTCTGTTTCACCCTAAAACATAAAGACAAATTTAAGAAAAAAATAAACTTATTTGCATTGCGGCTACAACCTAATCGTAAAATAGACATCTTTTTTATTTATTTAAACTTACTCAAAGCAGTCATGAAATGATTGGAAGCTTCCCTGGGAACTAAGACTAGATTTACTATAAGTATTACGGTTTCAACTGAGGAGAAAACCCATCTGAATCTTCGAAGCATTATGATTGGGTATGGGTTCCAGAGCGAATATTGACTAATTAAATAAAAACCAGACTTTAACTAATGTTCTAATGTTACAAAATTAATATATTCTACATAATTGCGTTTTTTTCTTCATTATTTGTGAATGACTTTCAAAAGGACTTTTATAGACTAGAATTTCAAAAAAATCTCGTTTATCTTTCTAAAGTCAAATTCCCAGAATACAAAAAGTGCTATGTGAGTAATATAACATTATAACGTGAATGAGAATGCCAGAAGCTGATAAAATAATTAGTACTGATAGTAGCTCAAGAACACCGTAGGATTAACAACCAAATTAACCATAATTATATACCACTCTGTGGGGTTCATCCTCACGGTATACTCACATCATCATCACACAGATCATTATCCAAATGTTGTAGTTGTGCTTTATTATGCTGGAATTGTATTTTATTCAACACACCATTAACTAAGGCTTGTAATGCTTCCCAATATCTAGAATAAAAAAAAGGTTTTTTTTATATTTTAGTGGCTTTTTATTTGAATTTTTTATTAATTGCGTCCGGTAACTATCACTTAATGTATATACTACGGAAATTATTTAAAACTACATAAGAAGGCAGAATCAATACAGACAAGCAAATTTACATTAATATATTATTTTGTACATATTAGTTAATACATTTTGATGTCTTAATTACTTACTTAGGTATATCCTCTGGTTTCAATATGTCAATAAACTGTATCCAAATGTCTAAACAATTTACAAATATAGCACATGTAGGCACCTGAAATATTTTCATAATATTAACTTAAAATGTTGAAATAAAATGTTGATTAAAAAAAAAAGTGGTGTAAGAGCGTACCTGGAATGTGTATTGGAATAAATAGGAAAGGAATTCTAGGGCATCGAATTCAGGTTCTGCCTCCAATCTCTTGAAATGTAATGACACAAATAGTTTTAGGAACTCCGCTAGTTTATTCAAATAACTGTAATTCAAAAATAAATATAAAATTTTACATTAGTTTAAAAATAACTTTAACGTTTATTAGACTAGATATATAGTCGTAATGATAATTATAATTTTTATTTTTTATATATTGATTAGATGGGTGGACGAGCTCACAGCCCACCTGGTGTTAAGTGGTTACTGGAGCCCATAGACACCCACAACGTAAATGCGCCACCCACCTTAAGATATAAGTTCTAAGGTCCCAGGTATAGTTGTCGATGCACGGACATCGACGATCGCGCGGCGCGGGCGCCGGGAGGAGGACAGCGGCGCGGGTTGAAGTATCGTTCGTCACTTCGTGCAGCAACGCCGCCCGCGACACTTACTTGTTTTTATCTTGTTTTACTCTTTTTATAAACTTACCAAATAATACAGTCCACTCTTTTATTTTATATATCACCGGTCTACCCCAGAGCAGTTCGAAACAATAGTTACAGTTACAACGGCTGCACCACCCTTCAAACCGAAACGCATTACTGCTTAACGGTAGAAATAGGCAGGGAAATTTATTTATACTAATCGCTTACTCGTGATGTAGGTGTGGTAGTTGATGAGGTGCATGCGTGAGGTGCCGAAGCAAACGCAACGCGGCGTGATGCAGCCGCAGCGCCGTGGCAGCCGACGAGGGCGGCGCGTAACGTCGGTACAACAACTCGCACACACCCCCCAACCCCGCCAGCGCTGCCTCCCCGCTCTGGAACACAAACACAATAACAAAAAATTAAATAGACTTTTCAACGAGAACGCGAGGAGCTAAGTTTTTTATGTTTGATGAATTACTGATCGAGGCCTTTCCAGTTTCACAAGGACACGTGGGCGAGCAATGGCTTAGACAGGAGGGGCGGGATTTGCTAACAGCTACCCGAGTGCCTCCAAGGCAGACCTAACAACTCAACAGTAGCTGCTTCGCGAATGAATCTACTAAGGGATCGGAATCGCGACCCGCTGAGAAGATCCGGCGAGAAACTCAACGGCTGATGTTTAGGTTAGGTTGCACGTCGAACTCTTTGCCGAGCGCGACGAAATACGGTTACGGAGCTAAGTTGTATTTTGCTATTTTAGCATTTCTCCAAGTTTGAACTTGTACTAACGGGGTTTATTAACCGTTTAGCCTCTGTGAAAGTGCACAAATGTGAGAAATGAAACGAATTCGCTGAACTGGCTATTTGAATTTTTCCAAAAAGTCCACTGAGGTCTCAGTAAAGAACCATCGTTTTATTAAAATTTTATTTCATCCCAATTGATTATAATTTTAAATAAAACAACTTAATCTAATTTAGGCCTATAACATTTTTTATATACATTTTTTCCGATTGCCATACTTAAAAGCAGTAGAAAACTACACATGAATTGTAAGCTTTTTTGCAAATATGTAGTAAAATCGACCTTATTCTGTGCTCTTAAGATGTATGCAGCCGAAAAATTGCATGTATTGTAATATTTCAAATACATATCTCAAAAACAACTGATAGCTTGTTTGAAACAAATTTTTGGCTAAGTTTATTTGAGCTCTTTAATGACTTCTAACCTAATGCGATTATTTGCACTGGTTATTTACTATCGCTAATAAAATATTTTTCTTTATTCTTTGTTGTACACACAGTTAATACAATATAATAATTGCGAAAAGTTATAAAACGGCGAGCTTAACTCAACAATTGAGTTATTCTACCAGCTAGCCGTTCTTAAAGAGGGTGAGCTTTACATAGGTGGGTGGTAGAAGTATTTTTTATTATACTGGTTCTGATACACAATTATGAAAAGGATTATACAATATTACCTTCAAATTCCAGACATTCATTTTGCCACATAGCTAAAAGACTCAAAAATTATGTTCTAATTGGTTTTTTTTCTCAACCAAGAAAACATTTAACTATAATAAATATTTATGGTCTGAAAATTTAGTTACTGTTTTATAACGACAAGTAATGTATCACTATATATTGGATTAGTAAGTGTGGTCATTTTTTCTTAAATATTGATGTTAGGAACCGAAATAACCCACTCCATTGGTTTATTAAATTTTTATGATTTTTACGGTGAACATACCATTGACTGCGTGGCTATACTCCCCCAATAGAATACTGTGGTAACAAGAGAAGGCGGCACATGGGAAGATAGTGGTAACCATGAAAATAAATGCTGTAATGTAGTCAAACACTTCACTACATTTTCCATATTCAGACACCTAAAAAGAAAAAGTTAATTATTTTATTTTGTAAAATGTCCTTGGTGTTTATATATTTATACTTACTTATCTACAGCTTGTATTTCGTGAGCATTTGCTAATAGGTCTGGGAGAGCTGAAGTCTGTGGAGCACCATTTGTGGGTGATGGTGGAGGATTGGATTGACCTTCTTTCTGAGCGTTTTTCTCTAAAATTGCTAAAACAATATGATTTTTTAAGCATGACATTACAGCTTCGATCACAACTGCTGGAATATCATATCATTTCTCTACGACGGAATAAAACGGCAATAAAACTAAATTTTGTAACAGAACCAAAAATATGAGGGAACTCCCATCAGTAAGTAATCATTAAGTAAATGCATTCACATTATTGATCCAACACAGATGCAACTGCTAGATTTACCTAGTAGATCACAACTATTATTAATATATTTTATTAAGCCATCTACAACACCCCCTTAAAAATATTATGCTTGTTTATATAATTTAACTATTTTGTAAGGCCACCAAAACTTTTCTCCCAGAAATGTTATTTATATAAATTTAATTACCACTAAGGGCTGCCAGCATCTGTGGCATTCCTTTCAGCATTAGTCGCTCTAATTGATTCCTCCTAGCAGAAGGCAACAGTACACCAGTATCACGTGCAACTCCTAATTCTTCGCTTGCAGCCTGTGCTAGTATGAGACCTAGTAAGCACTCTCGGCCTTCCCGTTTTATTAACTGTAATGAAAATTAAAAGAAAGTCACCAAGAAACAATCATGCATTTTTCATTTTACTAAATTTAATATTAAATAAAATAACACATAATTGATGATGTTGGTATCATGATAATATCCAAGTGCCAATATTCTGCAATTGAATATACTGGCATGAAAGTACAAACAGATTAATTGTTGTATGCAACATTTTCAAATTTTGTGAACTATTTCAGATAAGTTGGAAAAGAGAAGCATAGACTTGTCCATTACTTTTTGGGCAATTTTAAGCCCAAAGAGTAATGGACATTGTGGACAGTAATGGAAATTTTAATTTTTGAAGAGCTTCGAAAAAGAAAAAAAAAACATAGCCCTAAGTGATTAGGGTTGTCCAATCCCAAACATTTATTTTTGGATAATTTTTTTTTTCTTATAATGAGGCATTATGTGGTTTTGGAATGAGGTTTTGTTATTTTTATATTCCCTCATCGTTCACAGCCCTACATGCCTCTTTCACTCATTTACCACATCCTTACACACTTACAAGTCAGTTTTTTTTTCTACACTAGAAATTCCCTAGACATTTTATATATGGCAAAACAACGTTTGCCAGGTCAGCTCGTTATATATATATTTTTTTTTTCCTACCTATTCTAGTGACCTCGAGGGTTCATGCTAGATTCACAGAACGAGTAGGTGAGCTCACGGGGCTCTAACCTGCTAACACTAGCCCTAACAAGAGCAGTACTTTACAGAATTTACCACTGGATCAGAAACGCGACCCACTGAGAAGATCCAGCAAGAAACGGCGTGTCCAAGGGTTAATTTACTCGCCGAACCCTTCGTCGCAAGTGATGGGTTCGACGAGAACGATAACCGGTACTTGAGGTACCTAAAAGCACCGATAGTGGATCGGAAGGACCGGAAACGACGCGTCCCTTGTATACATACTCATCAACAACTTCAAGAGTTATCTACAATCATTTCAGATCTTTGAAAATTACATGACTTTCATATTTTTATTCATACCTCGACAATATTACTAAAGAAATCCTCATATAAATGTGGCCAATCATATTTAGCTATTGAAACCATAAGGTGGGCCATTTTGTTTCTTATGAAGTATAACATAATTTCATGTTTTGCCATTAATTCATTCCATAGTGTTAACCTGATCTCTGTCTTGTTTTCATCTGATATACCAATCCACTGTCTGTTGATAGTGTTCTGAAAGGAAATTTAAATATTATTTATTTTTGCATGGACTAGTGGTTGAAGAAATTCTCGGCCCGCTGGTGTTAAGCAGTTACCGGAGGCCATAGACATCAGCAACTTTTTTTTTTATTGCTTACATGGGTGGACAAGCTCACAGCCCACCTGGTGTTAAGTGGTTATTGGAGCCCATAGACATCCACAACGTAAATGCGCCACCCACCTTGAGATAGAAGTTCTAAGGTCTCAAGTATAGTTACAACGGCTGCCCCACCCTTCAAACCGAAGGCAGAAATAGGCAGGGTGGTGGTACCCACCCGCGCGGACTCACAAGAGGTCCTACCACCAGTAACAACTTAACCCACCTTGATACACGAGTCTCATTTCATACATTTAAATGTATTTTGTTGACTTAAATTTTACTACCTGTATCTTTGAAGCTATTAAAGGGCTGAGATAAAAAAAAATTATACTATCATGGCTCATTAATTTAGTAAAGACGAAATTAAGTAGTAAGGCTGTTCCTTGTTTTATTTCACACCACTTTTATACTTAACACTGTCTTTCAAGTATAATGAGAGGTTGATAACTAAGTTAAGCACTAGATAGCAAGGAGTACAAAAGTGTCAAATGCAGAAAATAATTTCAAGTTCAAAATAAAGTAGTATCTTTTTAGAGTAGAGCTTTGTTTCTGTAATTAAAAGGAAGATTTACAAAAAAGAGTGATAATTTAGGATTTGTTAATAAAATGAGTTATTTAAATTTATCATTTATACATTTTAGAAAATTACATAATGGCTTAATATAATCACATTATATGTCTTTACTACACACCATAGCAAAGGTGACATGGTTATATTCTATGCGATTTCAAATTTTGTGATGTGATGTCCTTTCTACCTTCTTTTGTGGATACTCTAATCTTAAGCACTTAATTAATTAAATAAGTTAGAGTCCGGTTCTGTGGTTGGGAAAAATAAAAGTCTGGACATGATATGGAACCTGTTAAGCTAATAGAAGGAAACATAGATCACTTCAAAGACAAAAACATATTGAAAAAAACAATGTAACCTTACACTGAAAATGTGCTTCCGGTTATTTATTGTATGTACCATAAAGGAATTTCTCACATTGCCATTAGTTTCTGTCTTAAGAGTGTCCAGATAACAGCCCAGATCTAAGCCCATTAGAGCATCTTAGGTGCGAAGTCAAGATATATGTTTGATTTGAAACATAATATTTCTCAGTGTGGTGATTTAAGAAAGCTTTATGAAGTCTAATTAGAATAGAACTTTATCTGCCAAGTTGAAATTAAAAGCTATGGACTTGGTACTAACTATTAATTTTAGTTTCAAAAGTATTAAATACCTTTTTTTCTTTATACACTTCACTTTCATGTGATTTATATGATCTTAATTTCATAAAAAAAACAACTCTATAGCAGTTTAATAAATCAATTAATTACTTGTAGTTTTGTTTGTTACCATGGGGGAATAAGTAAATTTTTTAAATAAAATTATTAATAGTTTTATTCTATATATATTTCTAATTCAGTGTACTCTATTCATGTGATTATTTCATAAAACAATTAGTTACTTCTAAGAATGCATAATACACAAAACATGATTTGGGTTAAAAAAACCTGGAACTTCAAATTGTTCTTAATTATATGACCTCTGTTGGATGTGTCCAATACAGAGAAAATCAAAATGTGTCTGAAAGATTTGTACACTCATACACATTATCTTGCATGAGCTTGTTTATACTCATTGACTTGCTAAGTTTGCATCTTGTATGAACTTGTGCACGCTTATGGACTAGTTGAGTTTTTAGAGGTACAACAACAATCCTACTCAAATATTAGTCAATCTTATAACAAGTGCACATGACGAAAAAATTTTTCCTCTTCGTTTCGTTTCAACCCGTAAGAAACCGATTTCTACTACTTTGGAAATTCCTGGTCTAAATAATAGAGCAATAAAATAAAATAAACCTTTACCTCTAACGTCGTTAGAGAGAACATCAAAACATACTGATTCTGTGACTTTTGAAGAAATAGGAGACAATGTTTCCACGAGTCTCTGCGATTTGAAAAGTCTTCCAGCATGCTTTCAATTTCACGTTTTCTTATATTAGTTGTCGTCGGAGCAAAAAACTCCGACATGAGAATATCCAAAGAGGCTAAAGCCTCGTCGATATGTTGTTCGGTCTGAAAATTTGTTTTAAGATACAATCAATGTGCTTTTAAGCTTCCAACATTTTCTACTATTATTTCTTACCATGATTTTTTAAATAACATCTAAGAAATAATTTCACATTATTTTTATTATTATTATGAAATGAATAAGGCTTTATTCAAAACATTTAAATGATTTTTTTGTAACGTTTTCTGTACAATTACTATTTATTATTAGAACAGTGTTTTCAACTTAAATAAAGTTTTTTTTTTATGTTTTTCCATCTTGACTATTTTTGACATTTGACGTATATTCAACTTCTATAATTTTTTTAAAGGGATTTTATGACCTGGTTTCTAAGACTTTTAAGTCACGTCTTATTTTAATTTATATATTTTTTTTTATGAAAAATGATAAAATGGAGTGAAATAAAATNTTTATTATTAGAACAGTGTTTTCAACTTAAATAAAGTTTTTTTTTTATGTTTTTCCATCTTGACTATTTTTGACATTTGACGTATATTCAACTTCTATAATTTTTTTAAAGGGATTTTATGACCTGGTTTCTAAGACTTTTAAGTCACGTCTTATTTTAATTTATATATTTTTTTTTATGAAAAATGATAAAATGGAGTGAAATAAAATGAAATGAAATGAAGATGATTAATTTGAGACATTAATCAACTGGGATGAAATTAAATGAAATGAGATGATATGGGATGAAATATAATCTCAGTAAAATGGTGATCATTTACTGAGATTTTTTCAGTGGACTTTTTGGAAGATCCCGAGAAGTTACGTCCAGCGGCTTTATTTCATTTCCCATATTTGTGCACTTTCACAGATATTAAACAGTTAATAAACCACCGTTATTACACGGTAACAAGCCGGCTGGTCACCGTGGAAGAGATTGACCACAACCTTCAAAGAAACAATTAGAAATTGCCCAAAATCCGCAAATCTATCAACAAACAAGTTATACATAGCAACATATAACGCAAAAACCCTCTCTTCATTTGAAAGACTATTAGAGCTCGAAGAAGCCCTGAAAGAAATAAAGTATGATGTCATCACCCAGCGGAGTACACAAGAATGAAATCGACTATATACTGTCAAGTGTAAGCTATTCCTAAATATAGAAAAGCTGAACCCTAACTTCTCTTCAGACCATAGAATGGTAAGAGCTACAATAACTTTAAAGGTATCGAAGAAAAGTCGAATAAAATTTACTAACAACCGCAATAGTACTTTAAAAACGAGAGAAGAAATTGAAGCATACAAGCAAAAACTGAGGCATCAGATATCATCAAACTTCGTCGACTATCAATTGGAGACGACAGTGCAGGATTTTTATAACAAATTATTATATATTATCAAAGTCAGTCAGTCAAAAACACGACAGGTTAAGAATACCTCTACTAGACACAAAATTCTCTCAGAGAGGACAATTACATTATTAAATAAGAGACAAATGTTACCAAAAACTACCGGAATCAAAAAATACAAACTTACCTTACACGGGAAAAAAAAAAAAAAAAGTAATAAAATAATTTCGAACAAATAAAACTTGGATTGAGAAATGAAACCAATCAGGACAAACAACACACAGCCGTAGAGATATAATTAATATTGCTACAGAATTTTATAATAACCTATACGGTGCGAATATACAACAAATAAATACCAACAAACAGGAAGCATACAAAAACCCCGAAAATAATAATATAAACTATTTATAGGAACTTGAGATTATACAAGCAGCTAATAAGTTAAAATTGGAGAAAAGCCCAGGCCCAGATTTCATTACTGATGAAGCAATTAAACATGGATGTGATATACTTGCATCACAGTGGTCAGAATCCATTATAATCTTGCTGTATAAAAAAGGTAACCCTAATGACATCAGCAATTACAGGCCAATAAACCTTTTTTGGCAACTGTATGCAAGCTTTTCTCTTCCATAATTAATCGAAGAATATTTGAAACTTAAGAAAAGAGATAGCCCATAGAGCAAGTTGGCTTCCGTAAGGGATATTCAACCGTAGATCATATACACACGCTGGAACTTATTAAAGAAAAATACCAAGAGAAGCAAAGACCGCTCTATATAGCTTTTATAGATTACCAGAAGGCTTTCGACAGCATTTCACACACAAGCATATGGGAGGCATTAAATCAACAAGGAGTGGAAAGTGAGCATACACAAGTTATAAAAAATATATATAACAACAGTGTCAGTAAAGTTAAACTGGAAACAATTGGCTCTGATTTGAAAATTAATAGAGGAGTGAGACAAGGGGATCCATTGTCTCCAAAACTATTTATTGCAGTATTGGAATCAATTATAAATCAATCAGACTGGAAAAAGTATGGCTTGTTTATCAAAGGTGAATGCCTAAGTCATCTAAGGTTCGCAGATGACTTGGTACTGCTATCTGAAACTGGTGGTAACTTAGAGCGCATGATACAGTCATTACATGAAGCTAGCAGACAAGTTGGATTAGAAATTAATCTGAAAAAAACAAACATCATGACAAACAGTTGTAGAAGAACCATCTCACTAGAACACAAACCAATACAGTACGTGGAACAATAATCTACTCAGGAAAGCAGATAGCGCTTCACAACAATAGCAATGAACTAGAGGTGGAGCGCAGCTTAAGAATTACGTGGAATAAGTTCTGGAGTTAAAAAGAAGTAATGAAAAGTAACATGCCAACAGAAGTGAAAAAGAAAATGATGGACACTTGTATATTGCCGTGTCTTACATACGGTTGCCAGACGTGGACATTTACGTGTAACATAAAAAATTAATTAATATCGACGTGCCAGAGGGGAATTGAACGCAGCATGCTCAACATAAGAAAGACACACAGAATCCGTCATAGAAAGATAAGAAGCATAACCAAAACAGTGGACGCTCTCGAATATGCTCAAAGATTGAAATTTAAGTGGGCTGGCCACGTAGCACGACTCGGGGATGGGAGATGGACATCTAAAGTAACTGCATGGGACGGTCCACAGGGCAAGCGGCACGTCGGTAGACAGTACACGCGCTGGCAGGACGACATGGCGACATTAGAAAAGTTGCTGGACTACACTGGATTTATGTCGCCAGAGACAAAACAAAATGGAAATCTTTGGAGGAGGCCTTTACCTGAGAGGGGTCCATGCATAATATTATTACTAAATACACTAAAAAATAAAATAAAATGTAATTGTATGGAATAAAGGGCTTTTCTATTCTATTACACATTTAAACCTGAAGAAACACGAAATAGAACAAATCACAGAACTTCACTCCTCGCGCTCCCGCCAAAAAGTCCAACGTCTATAATAATATTTTAATTCCAACCAAATAATGTGTTTAAATTTATGATTCCGACTGTGACATTGGCTGTATGTAGGTGTAGAGCATAGACCTTTAAACTTCATTGGAGTAGAGTTACACCGGTCACTCACATGCGCACGAATACGCAAACCCGCAAGTGTAGGACGACATTTGCGAATGATTATGCAAAGTTTTCGCTGCATTCGTGGTTTTCCAAGCTGTGTTGGTTTTTTAACAGACATCAAAGCGCGCGAACCTCGAACCTTCGCGTAGTCTCCCACACATGCGCTTGCCCAGTTGCGCCGACGATTGCGAAGGTAACGGACGTATCGCCATTTTCATATTTTCATAGTTCGTGACGTCTACTGTGTAGCGTATCTTCATCAAAAGAAATCCCATAAAAACAGCATGGCTGTTAATGATGTCTGGGAAATAATTCAAAACTCTTTTTCTTTTCAATGTTCTATTGACGAATTAAAAAGGAGGAGAAATTCGTGAGACATGCGTAAACAAGTGTAGGAGGAAGCGCAAACGGGTTCGCCAAATTGAGTATGCGAACCCATTTGCACAGCCGTTAGGTTTGCGAATGAATGTTTGACGGCCCTTCGGCCCTTGACGGAATGTTTGCGCGCATGTCAGTGGCTGGCATAAGTAGTTGAAAATTACAATAAAAAAGAATCAATATTTTTTTTTAATTTTAAATTATCGGATGATTTTGAAATATCTACAATATTTAACACCTTTATCACCTGTTGATTTCTGGAATTTTTTCCTCCAAAAAGTCAACGGAACTCGATTCTGAGCACTCATTAAAATCAAATTTTCAATAATTTTCTGAGTTGTTGTTTCATATCATTTCATCTAGCACCAACAGTTATATTGTTTTATCTAACCTCATATTATAATTGTATTTCATTTCATTTTTCACACAGCAGGTATGATTTCGACCTCACTTACAAAGTGAATATGTGTATGGGCTATTTTTCCTTTGCTTTAAAAATATCATATCAATTAAAAAATTTGTTGCCTCGTTTAATTTTTCGTTGACTGTTTATTTTAGAAGTTTTCTTAAAATATTTAAGAATTTAAGAATGAACATAGCAGTATAGTGTTCTGTGATGAGCTTTCGATCAATTATTTTAGAATAGATAAGAACCAAAGAATTAAATACCTAATATAAGCGAAATAAAAAATAATTACACAAACAACAAATACATGGGTAAACTTAAATTTCGCCCTGTGCATTGTCTACCAACGAACCCTGATAAAATAAGTAAATACTAAAACACTATGTGTCGTTATAATAATTCCGTAGTCTAATAATTTTACATTACTATTCTTCGTCAATCAATTTCACAACAAAACTATTTCGAATTAGTTTTAGTGTAAGTCTGACACTTAAATGGAATGATAAATATAGCCCTGTGAAACTATGGCAAGCTGTTATAAAAAAAGGAGACTTGAACATGAAGAATCTGAGGACAAGATTACAGGTAAAAAGTTCAACCACCACACAGTAATATGATCATATAACCCTAAAATATTTAGTTAGACCTAACTTTTAATAGTTAGACGCATTGTTATATTTATTTTAATTCTGGTGCTCTGTGGAGGAATATCGTAAGTTTTAGAAAAGGCTTTATAATTTTTTTCATACTTTCAGTTACAGATAAATCCATGAACTCTATAACTCACAGTGGAGAAGACTCAAAAAACAGAAAGAAGCTCAAATCAGATGTTGAAAATGAAGGGTAATTATTTTGGAGTGTATTAGGGGAACTATAAGAGGAAATATTCAATAGGTATACAGGGCTTAAAGTGAGCACCTGAGAGCAAAACTTAATTAAGAAACTTCTCTGATTTTGTGAATTTTTTTTGTTGCCCTTGTAGGCAGATGTGCATACGGTCCACCTGATGGTTTTCTTTTTTTTATGATTGAAAGATTCTGGTGGCCCGGAGGCCTTTCCAGTTTCACTAGGACAGGTGGGCAAGCAAAGGCTCAGCCAGGAGTGCTGGGATTTTCTAACAACTGCCAGAGTGCCTCCAAAGGAGACCTAACAACTCAAGAGCAATTGCTTCGCGAATGGATCTACTACCGTATCGGAATCATCGGACCGGAAATTCATTCGGGTGTTTGTTTGTGCCTGTACAATAAAATCCCACAAGATGTTCAGAACCTACATATACATAGGTTTAAGAAAACTATTAAAGAACATCTGTGCAATAAAGCTTACTATTAAGTCAATGATTATCTAGAAGATTGCACAAAGTGGGAATGAGTTGCTCGCTTTGGGCATTTCAATATTGCAATAATTGTTACATTATAATACATCTTGTGTAAAAGAATATTTAAAAAAATCTAATATTTAAAAAAAAAAGACATGCCTGCTGAGTTTTTTGCCAGATGTTCTCAGGACGAAGGTTGGTTTTTGTAAATTGGAGGTAGTTCTTTTTGATGTTGAAATTTTTTTGATTTGATTTGGAATCGTGACTCGCTGAGTTTCTTGCCAGACTAATGTATTGGTTAGGTTATAGAATTATCTTTAAAACTAGTTGTCTTAAATTGATTTTGATCCATTTTGTATCATTTAATGTTGTGGGTTTGAATAAACATAATGTAGTTGTTAACTGGTGGTAACATTTCATCATTCACAAACTCAATTTTGTATAAGTTGTTTAATTTATTTACAAGAGAAATGAGACACTTGTTATGAAATGTGTTTCAAAAGCGGACACAAAAACCCTCTTATTGTGACTACCGCTAGTTACATATCTGAGCCAGGTGGCAGAGCTGCAATCACCTGAAATATGTCTTGTCAGATCCCGGATCCACTCTGTGCTTTTAGGCTTTACAAACACCAGTCACTATCCGCTTCAAACTCTATTCATTGATAATCTAAGAAGCTATACCAGCTACGCCTGAAAGGGTAGATGAGCTCATGGGCTCAACTTGAGAGAATTTCCTAACACTAGCCCTAGCAAGAGCAGTGCTTCACAGAAGCTATCACTGAATCTGTTCCACTGAGAAGTTACGAAGTGAAACTCAGTGGGCTGTGTTTAAGGATTGGTGATGAGCAAACTAACCCATGGACCCACTGACCTTCTCAGTGGATTGAATCTGGTTCTCTTTCTGCGAGGCACTGCTCTTCCTAGGGCCAATAATGGCCGTGGCAATGAGCCCGTGAGTCCACCTAACAGTCACAGCAGAGTTGAAATAGCCCCTTAGACTAGCAGTGAGTAGAAAGAAAAAAAAGTACTCCTGGCACTACTGGTGTCTGTCCATAATAGAATACTATCATGAAGCTCATTAAAAAGTAATCATATTGATGAAAATAGTACGCGTTGTGAAAAAATACAAAAATAGAGTAGATATAGATCATCTAATTTCTAAAATAAATAGGAATAGGTATAAGGAGATGATATCTATTAGCCTGTTTTTTTTATTGCTTAGATGGGTGGACGAGCTCACAGCCCACCTGGTGTTAAGAGGTTACTGGAGCTCATAGACATCTACAACGTAAATGCCGCCAACCCACCTTGAGATATGAGTTCCAAGGTCTCAATATAGTTAAAACGATTGCCCCACCCTTCAAACCGAAAAACGCATTACTGCTTCACAGCAGAAACAGGCAGGGTAGTGGTACCCACCCGTGCAGACTCACAAGAGGTCCTACCACCAGTAAAGAGGACCTACCAACAGTGAGATAGTATGTACTATATGCTATTATATTATAGCGTAGTCTGAAAGTAAACCCATTAAGACCCATTTAAGAACCATATAATAAATTCAAGACCCTTTACAGATTTCACATTTTTTATATTTGATACGGGTAAGTCTAACAAGTGCATGATTAATTTTGCGCCTTTAAGATACAGTAGTAGCGAATCCACAAAAACTCCAAGAAAAATATATTATTACTGATGATTTCAGAAATCTTGTAGTTAAATTGGTTGAATACGAGACTGATCCTGAAGTACTACAGAGGCGCCAAAAGCAAATTGATTATGGAAAAAACACAGTTGGGTATCAAAATTATGTTCAACAAATTCCACTGTAAGTAATCAAAAATAATATAATAAAAAAACAAATGAATTTATCATGTCATAAGGTGAAAAAGTCGCATAACAATTACTTACAATTATTTCAGAAACAAAAGGACTAAAGAACTACCAAAGACTCCAGATAAATACTTGAAATATAGTAGGCGGTCATGGGATATGTTAATAAAGCTTTGGAGAAAAAATCTACATGAATTCGATCCCAACTTTGGAGAAGTAAAGAAAGAATGCAATGATGCTAATAAGAAAGTTAATGATGATGACTCTTCCGATTAGGAATAATAAATAAATTTATATTCTTGATAGATATTTAAGCCCACAATATACATATATGTGTTGTATAAATATATTACACATGTATAAATGATATCACAGACCACACCACAACTAGCCAGCTAGTTAGATATTGGTAAATAACATTTTGTCATCATAGTGTTTTAATACAAAATAAAATAAAATTTATTAAATATCTGTAACATTTTTTTATTTTTCTAAAATACAACTGTCTAGGTATTTGGCAGTTCTATTTTATTTAAAATCTCTCGAGCCTGTTTAATTATTGCTGTATTTTTATTATCTATTATGTTAGTGAGATTCTGTAATTTTTCCATGTATTCATCAATATTATCTTCAGTAGCCCCAGTTGGTCCACCTGAAAACAAACAAACTGTCTATATTGCTCATTATGCATATGATGTAAAGACTGAAATATCACAACATTCTAATTGTAATGAAATTAATTTTTTCTAATGAAATACATACTCAACAAATGTTCACGATTGACTTCCACGGTGAAGGAATAATATATAATTATAATTTGCGTAAATACTGGTGGTAGGACCTCTTGTGAGTCCGCACAGGTAGGCACCACCGCCCTGCCTATTTCCGCCGTGAAGCAGTAATGCGTTTCGGTTTGAAGGGTGGGGCAGCCGTTGTAACTATACTGAGAACTTAGAACTTATATCTCAAGATGGGTGGCGCATTAAGTTATAGATGTCTATGGGCTCCAGTAACCACTTAACACCAGGTGGGCTGTGAGCTCGTCCACCCATCTAAGCAATTAAAAAATAATAATTTAACCTTAAGGGAATGATAAATATGCATAGCAGTATTAGTGAATAGCGAATTCTTGATTTTGTTACTAAACTTCTATACTTTATGTAGTAGACCACCTAAAAGCACTCCTGGTGTGTTTAGAGGTTATAGAACCCTTATACACTGCTTAAAGCTAGTGTTTCAGTCAAAGCATTAGTTTCAATGACAATACATGGTCACAATGTCAATTTGAAACTCATGGTTTTGATAAATAAAACATAAAATGACAATTTACTCAATAAAATTAGTGTTGAATAATTACACATTGACTACCTGGTAAAGCTAATGTCTGAAGACCTTGCACTAAGGCTGCGACCAGACTACGTTTATGAGCAAGCAAAGCAGCAGTCCTTTCAGCTGCTGCAGCTGTTTCAGCTCTGAGTTTCGATGTAGCGCCGCTTACCTCTTCTGCGTGACGATGTAAGATTGCATTCTGATGTAAGTACAAAATATGTATAAAATTTTTAATCATTATCTATATAAGCACCATTTTAGTGCTTGGTAAGATTGAAGTATAAATAACAATAAATATTGTGGTGTACATATTTTTTGGTAGGACAGGCCATCTGTCAACAAATAGGAAGCCGAGAGACATAGAAGTGAATAACAACACCCATCTTGAAAANCGATGTAAGATTGCATTCTGATGTAAGTACAAAATATGTATAAAATTTTTAATCATTATCTATATAAGCACCATTTTAGTGCTTGGTAAGATTGAAGTATAAATAACAATAAATATTGTGGTGTACATATTTTTTGGTAGGACAGGCCATCTGTCAACAAATAGGAAGCCGAGAGACATAGAAGTGAATAACAACACCCATCTTGAAAATTGTAAATATGGCTGAAGTTCTATCTTTCAAACAAGAGTCCATGACCACTAGCTCCTACCAAATAGGTAAGATGGTGGTACCAGTGAGTGCCAGTCAGTCATCATAATATGCTATTAAATACTCATAGAAAGCTGCTGGACCATTCATGCTCCATTTACCTGCTGTTCGTAATCTGAATTTGCCTTTCTTAATTGTCTTAACTCAGATTCTCTCAGTTTGTTATGTTGCAGAAATTGGTCTGTGAAGATTGGTATTTCCATTTCACCCTGTAACAATAAATTTACTACTTTATAAAACTTTGTTTACCTTCCAATTTGAATTTAAGTAGGTATTCAACAATTTTTTATGCTTTTTATGCTGACAATATGAACTGCAGAACTTACAGATGTAGGATTAATACATGGTCTTGGTCTTGGTGGGGTAGTCTGACGTGAAGACATGTTTGTTGTAGAAGCACTATACATTGTACTTTCTCCTGGTTGGGTACCCCCTATAAGAGTAAGTGTAAGTATTGTTAGTTTTTTGTCAAAGCACTTTTTTCATCAAATAAGTTGCTGGATTAATTTTATTTATATATATATATATATATATATATATATATATATATATATTACGTAATAGTGAAATTTTAGTGTACTTTAATATTCAAAATTTTTTAACATTGTATTACAACATCTAGTTTTGCAAGCATGTAATGCCTATCCGTATGAATGCTTAAAGAGCTCCCCTTAAACTGAATTTAATATTAATGTTATTATGAATTAATCTCATGTAAGGTACAAATGGCACTATTTTCTTTATAAAAAGGGCAAATGAGCTCACGGCTCATGTAGGTTTATATGGCTAGAGTCGTAAACATGAATGTCTAAATGCTACTACAATTGTATTGTATAACAGCTGTCCTAACCATCAAACTGATGTGCTAGATTCTTCATGCAAGATCGTAATACCAGACATATGCTTGGTCTTGTTTTTGAGAAATTGTTGCGCCTAATATTTTTTATGGATTATATGGTTCTCTATTGATTAATTTTTTTTTTTATTGCTTATATATGTGGACGAGCTCACAGCCCACCTGGTGTTAAGTGGTTACTGAAGCCCATAGACATCTACAACGTACATGCGCCACACACCTTGAGATATAGTTCTAAGGTCTCAGTATCGTCACAACGGCTGCCCCACCCTTCAAACCGAAACGCATTACTGCTTCACGGCAGAAATAGGCGGGGCGGTGGTACCTACCCGTGCGGACTCACAAGAGGTCCTACCACCAGTAATTACGCAAATTATAATTTTGCGGGTTTGGCTTTTATTGCACGATGTTATTCCTTCACCGTGGAAGTCGATCGTGAACATTTGTTAAGTACGTATTTCATTAGAAAAATTGGTACCCGCCTGCGGGATTCGAACACCGGTGCATCACTCGATACGAATGCACCGGTCGTCTTAACCTTTAGGCCACGACAACTTCGTAAAAAGAAAAGAAAAAAGAAAATTTTAAAAGAATATTGAATTTACCAGAAACTGAAGCGTCTACTTGAGGAACCTGCCGTAACTTCTTTGATAAGCTACCATCTTGCAGATCAGATTGTTGTTTTGTGAACTCTTTATAAGCATTTGTTCTTTTGTATTCCGCACATTCTTTAACATATCTGTTAATTTAAAATACACTATTCGTATTTAAAATAATTTCAAATATATATTATTTACATCTCATGAAATTTAAATTAGGTACTTGATTAATGATTAACCTTTCTTTATCCTGATCTGCAGCATCTAAGTATTGTTGTTTTTCTTCAGCTGGAAGTCTACTCCACTCGCTAGCTAACTGTCTGGTCAATTCTGCAAAACCCAAATCTGGCTGTTGTGCTCGCAATTGATCTCTTCTCTCATTTAAAAATCTTACATAACCTTAAATATGAATATTCGTTTGTCTTAAAATTGTAAATAAAAGATTTTAATAAGGAATTAAGTAAAAATAAGACATCTAAAATAAGAGCTAAACCTGTGAGAGGTTGACGGGGTGCAGTTGTATCGCGAGCTGCTTTGGGTTTTCTTTTTTTGGGCTTTTTAGGTGATGTTTTTGGAACTTCTTTTAAAGCACCCGCCGTGTCAATCGCAACGGGCGTTTCAGCAAGCACATGAACATTAGATACTATAGGCACTTGAGTCAAGCTTGAGTCAGTGGTCACAGGTTTCGGGTCTTTTTCAATATTAATAGGCTGCACTTCTGAATTCACTGTATTTACTACGTCCGATTTTAAAGACTCGCTTTCCATTGTTGTTTTACTTCAATACATCCAACACAATACAATAACTATACTTAAACACTTTAATATCGGATTTGGTTTAAAGTTTAAAAGTTTAAATTAAGTAGAAAATAGGTACAGATAGGTAAACAAAGCAAAACCCTCAACACCATAGATTAAACACTTAACTTTTTTAAGGGATTTTACGACCTGGTAACTAAGACCTTTAGGTCAAGTCTTATTTGAATTTATCCCGTTTTCCAATCACAGCACAAGAGCGCATTATGCGGCATAATGCTCAACTAAGCTTCAGCATAGGTAAATTCCGTATATAATTTGATTAATATTTTACCTGTTTTTTTTATATTTTTAACTGATTTTCTTTTAATATTAATAATTAATTGATATGAGTCAACTGTAAGAGAGAGATAAAGAGACAGAGAAGTGAATATATCCTAATACATGTGTCACTCAGTCTCATGCGCGAGCCCACCGAGTTTCTCGCCGGATCTTCTCAGTGGGTCACGTTTCCGATCCAGTGGTAGATTCTGCGAAGCACTGCTCTTGCTAGGGGTAGTGTTAGCAACTCTCCGGTTTGAGCCCCGTGAGCTCATCTACAAATGTTACGGTGAAGCTGAAATAGCCTCTCAAGGCTATCAGCATAGGTAGGAATAAAAATAAAAAAACTCATGCGCGTGGATAATGCCCTCGCGCTCTTACCCACAAAGGTATTAAATTTAATTTAGGGGATGTTGGCCCCTTGGATCGGTCTGTCTTTTTGTAAGAGGTTTTAAAATAGTTGTCTGGTGGACATATATAAAAATCAGCTTTCAGAATTTACGTGAAGTTAGGTCACTATTTTGGGAGATTTAAAGCGTCTGCAAAGCAATTCGGCCGACGGAAAGTGTCTGGGAGTATTGGCAATTTATTTTTAAAGATGTTGACTAAAATATACGTAAAAATCAGCTTTCAGAATTTACGTGAAGTAGGTAATGATTTTATGTACCTTGAGTACCTAATTCCTGAAAAATGGCCGTCTAAGCAAGGTAGCAGCTGGCATGCGTTCTTAGTACATACTAACACAACGACGCAATCGGCCACATTTTGTTCGCCGGAAAATACGTGACGTCTAGGAGCCCTGGGATCTCACTCTACTAGTCGTGGTATAGACTTGGGGGAAAATAATTAATTTAAGGACTTTTTGGCGGGAACGCGAGGAGTGAAGTTGTGTGATTTGTTTTATTTTGTCTATTTAGTGTTTCTTCGGGCTTAAATATGTAATAACGGTGGTTTATTAACTGTTTAATATCTGTGAAAGTGCACAAATGTGGGAAAATGAAACAAAGCCGCTGGACGTAACTTCTCGGGATCCTCCAAAAACTCCACTGAAAAAATCTCAGTAAATGACCACCATTTTACTGAGATTATATTTCATTCCATAACATCTCCTCTCATTTCATTCAATTTCATCCTAGTTGATTAACGTCTCAAATTAATCATCTTCATTTCATTTCACTCCATAATATCATTTTTCATAAAAATATGAATATAAATTAAAATAAGACATGACTTAAAGGTCTCAGTTACCAGATCATAAAATCCCTTAAAAAAAATACTTTAACTTTTGGCGGGAACACGAGGAGTGAAGTTGTGTGATTTGTTTTATTTTGTCTATTTAGTGTTTCTTCGGGTTTAAATGTGTAATAACGGTGGTTTATTAACTGTTTAATATCTGTGAAAGTGCACAAATGTGGGAAAATGAAACAAAGCCGCTGGACGTCACTTCTCGGGATCCTCCAAAAAGTCCACTGAAAAAATCTTAGTAAATGACCACCATTTTCCTGAAATTATATTTCATCAAATGTCATCTCATTTCATTTCATCCCAGTTGATTAATGTCTCAAATTAATCATCTTCATTTCATTTCACTTCATAATATCATTTTTCTTAAAATATGAATATAAATTAAAATAAGATTTGACTTAAAGGTGTCAGTTACCAGGTCATAAAATCCCTTAAAAAATAATCATTTAAAAAAATTAATTCAGCGTATTTCAAGTACATACATACATATATCAATAAATTGTCCCAATTATTTTTAAAACATTTCGTATCAGACAATTCTCTAAAATCCAGTACCCTCTAATAAAAAAATAATAATACAGGGTTTTTTTTAAAAACGTTTGTGCTAAGGTACTTTACCATCGGAGTGATACAATTCCGAATTTAAATTTACAATGGCAATGAATAGATTTATGCACCCTCGAAATATATATAAAACTCCACCGGACTTCATTCAATTGGCCAAAGATTTCTCAGAATTTTCAAAGATTACAAAAACTGTAAGTATATGTTTTCCGTTACTTTAACTACTACTCAGAGTCAATTACTAATCAGAGTCAAAAATAAATTATTTTTGACTCTGATTAAAACGAGGTATACTTTGTTTTCTTTTAAACATTAATAATGAACTTATGATTTGATAAAGTAGTCAATAATTGACATGTTTTTATTTTGGAATAATATGTTCCATGAAATAAAACGATCATCTTGTTTCAGGATGTTACGGGGAAGGTTACTATTGACTTCAAAGACCCTCAATCACTGCGCGTACTAACTAAATGTTTGTTGAAAAAAGATTTTAACCTAGATGTGGAAATCCCATCAGATAGACTTGTACCCACACTTCCTTTAAGACTTAATTATATTTTGTGGATAGAAGATATATTGGCTGCTGTTGAAATATTCACAGATGTAAAGGGTTTAGATATAGGTATATAAGTAAATTTAAGTGTATTCTGGCAATTTATTTTTAAACATCATAATTTCATTAGATTCGTCTTCAATAGTACTGAAAAATTTAAACAAATTTATTAGGTGAATCTCTCGTGATTTTTTATTATTTTAACACTATGTTTTTAATATTGCATGATGAGTTTTATATGTCATGCTTAGTCAAAATCTCATTCTGAGGTCTCTGAAAGTTCACTAGTAAGAACTAAAAAGAAGTTATTAATAAATTTACTATTAAAACCCACTGTATCCGATTTTCAGGTACAGGAGCTTGTGCCATTTATCCACTGCTGGCAGCTGTAAAAAACCAATGGCTTATGTATGGTACAGAAACTGATGCAAACAGTTTGAAAGTAGCACAAGAAAATATACAAAAAAATAATCTCCAGGACTTAATAAAATGTAAATAAGCTCTTTGGAATATGTTTAAAGCATACAATTAATTAACAAACACAACAGTATAACGACTTAAATAATGAGTAAGATTTTTTCATCATCAGGTCATTATAGAGCATGCAATACACTTGATGGTTATTGGTTATGCTGACCCTGGTTGATTTTGTTAACTTATTTCTGATGTGAATTTGTCAATTACCATGAACAATTTGAAGAACAACATCTTCTAATATACAATATGTTGTTTTTTTTTTTCAGTAAAAGTAAACACCACAAGTTCTATAATTGATTATTTATTCACTGAAAATGAAACTATATACTATGATTTTTGTATGTGCAACCCACCATTTTATAGTACAATGATGGAATTATGGGAGTCTAGGAGCCCAGCAAGGTATGAGTTTAGAAATTACCATTATATTAGATAATATTATGTAGCTTATCAACGATGGGAAATTTATGTAAATTAAACATTAAGTTAATGAGAATTGCTAGCTAGAGGAACATGCTAGTTAGAATTTATACTTATCATTATTAAAAAATAATAGGGGTTAAAGTATGAAATTGTTGTTTTATTGTAATAGGTACTTCGAATTAACATAGAACCTTTGTGATTTGATGATGAGATTTTTGAGTGAATGTTTTTTCAAATGGTAACTATGAGGTTCTTCATTTAAAAAATTTGCAACATTCGATTATCGACTTTCAGTTGTTTTTTTTATTCAGCTTAGACAAGACAGAAGGATACTTCGAAAATTTGAGTGATTTTTTAATATGAGCTCTGGCGTGGAACTAACGCTGCAGAAACAGCTCGCAATCTCAATGTTGCGACTGGAAAGGGCACTGCTAATGAACGCACCATGAGATTTTGGTTTAAACGCTTTTGTGATGGAAATTTAAATTTGAAGAACGAAACATGTGGAAGACCGCACCCACACATTCACATGTGTTTCATTCACATAACAATGAATTGAAAAAGATGGTGGAAGCCAATCCGAGCCAAACTACCTAGGAATTAGCGGCATAGTTTAACGTTACCTTACCAACAATATTGACTCATTTACGTCAAATCAATAAAATAAAAAAAGATGAAAAATGGGTGCCTCGTGATTTGACTGATCTGCAGAAAGAAATGTGTGTGGAAACTTATGTTGCCTTGTTGAATCAATACAGGAATGAAGGAATATTGGATCGAATTGTGACATGTGATGAAAAGTGGATTCTTTAGGATAACCTTTAGCAAAAAATTCAATAACTGACTTCAGGTCAAATGTCACAACAGTGTACTAAATCAAAGCTTACCTATAAAAAGATAATGGTAACTATTTGGTTTTCTCAGCATGGTGTTATTCACTATAGCTTTCTCCGATCTGGTCGAGCAATAATGGCAGATGTCTATTGTGCCAAACTCTGAACAATTATAGTAAAACTTGCAGTAAAACAGCCCCGAATCATGAATCGATCTTCACCATTATTGCTCCATGACAACACGAGATCTCATACAGCACGAAAAATCGTTTTAACACTACAGGAACTGCAATTGGAAAGCATTCGTCACCCTCCGTATTCGCCAGACCTTGCTCCAACGGACTACCATTTTTTTCGTGACTTGGACAATGTTCTATGTGATAAGTTTTCCAGGAGGCAGTACAAAATGGTTTCACAGTTTGTAGAATCTAGATCACCAGAGTTCTATCGCAAAGGCATAAATGTCCTTCCTACTAGATGGCAGCAATGTATTGATAATAATGGTAGATATTTTGATTAAATAAATATGTTAAATGAAAATTTTTTTTAATTAAAAATGAAAGAATTTCAGTTTCTCAGTGAAAATCGGCAATTTCATACTTTAAACCTTAATATTTCTACACCTTTTGAGCATTAACAGTTAGCTAAAAAATAAAAATGATGCAGTACATATTATTCTTGCTGTATTTAGAAAATAATTTTACTTACATTACTTGTAGACCTCCTCCTAAAAATGGTTTCACTGGATCACCTCAAGAATTAATAACTGAAGGTGGTGAATTAGAATTTTGTAGGAAACTTATTGCTGAGAGCAAAAAATATTGCTATAACATTTTGTAAGTATGTTTTTTTTTTTTGTAATCCTCATTTAAAATTTTTGTTTCTAGTGATTCTGGCACAGCATGTAAAAAACTATCATTAATGCAGGTAGCGTCTTTGAGCTATCAAAACCTTCTGTTTTAATGCAATTACTTTCTATGATAACATGGAATCTATGATACTTTGCTTACTAATTTTGTGTGTGTAAATTAACATTTTAACTGTCTCTATAGTTCTGATAAGGAAGTGTCAATATATTTTTACTGTAGCTGTTCCGAAATAATAAGAATTCACCATTCATTAGGATTTTTTTAATAAGTAGGTATGTACTGGTTTTCATGTAGGAACTTTTTTGACAGAATCTTCACATCAATGATTGGTCACAAGTTTAATTTGGCTCAACTTATCGATGATTTGAAGTCAGATAATATTAATTATACACATACGGAGTTTTGTCAAGGACGAGTAACCAGATGGGGATTAGCTTGGACATTTCACGATTATGATCTACTGCAACTACGTACGTATTGTTTCGTGTTTGGTTTGACACCCCCACCGGTTTCTTTTCTTTGAAATTATAAAAGGAATAATCCATTTATACAAAAACAAACCTACAAATATAGGTAGCGGCTTGGCTGTGCCTTTGGCATTTTTGATGTTCATGAATTACGGTGGTCACTTGCCATCAGGCCGATTGTATGCTCGTCTACCCACAAGAACAATCCAATTTTTTTCAAAAAAGCCATATAATGCTATTATTTATATATGGAAACGTTTGTTTCAGTTCCCCCAAGAGATAAACCAAGAAAAAAGATTCAACCACTAGTTTTTCTTTTACCGGAACTTCCGAATTGTACATATGACTTAGCATCCGCTTCAAACAAAGTCAAAACCATTTTAGATAGATTAGGAATCGCTTATGAAGTTGTTGAAAAAAGAGGGAACACTATAAAAATAGATATGGTAGCAAAAGTAAACACGTGGTCTAACCAACGAAGAAAAAGACGTCAAGAAAAAAGGATGCAAGAAGAAACGGACGTAAAGAAGATGAAAAGTAATAATTTAGAATTAAATGATATAAAAAATGGTAGTTTTGAGATAACTGAAAATACTAGTTCACAACATGTACAAAGTAATGCAGAATTAGGTGTAAATAAGGTAATTGAAAAAAACGATGAAGACTCTAATGCAGTTAGAAGCACAGAATCAGAGCAAGAAGGATTATTAGGAATACAAGTACGTGCAGTTTTAAAAATATTCAAAAAAGATAATGAAATTCTGCTTGAAACAGAGTTCATCAATGGTACTTTAGGTAAAGAAGGATTGCATCAGATTGTACAGTTTATTAAAAATAATTGGAAATAAATTGGAATATTTCTTCTTAAACCTTAAACAATCAGTTGCTGTATGTAGTTCTCTAGCATGCATTACTGCCTTTTCTGGAAGTATTTATAACCATTTTATTTATTCACCTTATAATGTAAATGTAATTTGTAATATCATTGAAACCATATTAAATATCATACCATAAAATAAAGAAAAAGAATATGAAGTCGTCGTGGCCTAAAGGGTAAAACGTCCGGTGCATTCGTATGTAGCGATACACCGGTGTTCGAATCCCGCAGGCAGGTACCAATTTTTCTAATGAAATACGTACTCAACAAATGTTCACGATTGTCTTCCACGGTGAAGGAATAACATCGTGTAATAAAAATCAAACCCGCAAAATTATAATTTGCGTAATCACTGGTGGTAGGACCTCTTGGGAGTCCGCACGGGTAAGTACCACCACCCCGCCTATTTCCGCCGTGAAGCAGTAATGCGTTTCGGTTCGAAGGATAGAGTAGCCGTTGTAACTATACTGAGACCTTAGAACTTATATCTCAAGATGGGTGGCACATTTACGTTGTAGATGTCTATGGGCTCCACTAACCACTTAACATTAGGTAGGCTGTGAGCTCGTCCATCCATCTAAGAAATAATATATATACCTAGTCAGGTCATAAATTCTGTCACATGTTTAATGTAAAATAATTGAAACAAGTTTATTCATTATGTAACCATTCATATACCAAAATGAACTTAACAAAACATAGATTCGTATGACACTAAACTTTATTCAAAATGACCTCCGTGATTTTGAATACAGGCCTTCAATCTGCGCGGCCAGTCGTCTATCGCAGCACGAACGAGGTCCATGTCAATATCGGCGGCTGCCTTAATCAAGGATGTCTTGAGTGACTCCAAATTGGGATGAGGCTTTGAGCACGCCTTTTCCTCCAAGTGTTGCCATATCTTGTAATCTAACGGATTCAAATCTGGACTGGAGGAGGGCCAGTCTTCGTGCCGGATGAAGTCGATTTCACGCGCCGCCAGCCAGTCTTGTGTGCTCTTCGCTCTATGAGCTGGCGCCGAATCTTGTTGGAATACCCAGTGCCTGTTATTGAACATGGTATGAGAAACAGGTTCCACAAGGTTCGTCAGGACTGTATTTTGATACACAACTGCATTCGTTTTTACACCTTTCTCACAAAAATGTACCTCTGTTAAGCCCCAATAAGAAACTCCCAACCATACCATGAGCGAGGATGGAAAATGACCTCGTTGGACACGCGGAATACGGTTGCTCGCTTCTTCACTACTGTGTGCGTACACCTTATCATTTTGTTTGTTGTAGCTCTCTTCTACGGTAAAAAATTTTTCATCCGAAAAAAGAATTTCCCGATATTTTTTTCCCGCGTACCGCTTCAACAAAGCGCGGCATCTCTTCAGTCTCAGGTCCATTAGACGAGCATTCAAACGATGTCCTGTTTTTCTTCGATATGCCCGAAGCCCTAAGTCTTCATTTAACACCCTTTTCACCGTGGTTCTGCTTAACCCCATCTGAAGGGCCAACAGTTTCTGCTTACGTTTGGGATTTCTTTGAATTCGCGCCTTCACAGCTTTTATCACTGCTGGAGTCCTAACAGACCGAGGGCGACCACTTCTTGACCTGTCATCTACACTAGAGTCTTCATTGTATCGTTTGATGGTACGATAAACGAATCTTTTGGTTATATTCAAATTTTTCAGTATGTTAAAAATTTGAATTGGCGCGTAACCGCAACGATGCAACGCAATAACTGCAACACGGTCTTCTTTAAGCGTCCACTCCATATTTAAAAATGAGTAAAATTCTAAAAGTATACATTTTTATTTTCATGAACAATTCGAAATTCGAATTCAATAAACTTTTTTGTGGCCAGCATTCTAAAAGAAAAGTTTTTACTGTGTGACAATACTTATGACCTGACTAGGTATATATAAATAACTACGGATATTATTTATTTAGTTGTATTTTTTTTTATTGCCCTTTTATGCAGACGAGCATACGGCCCACCTGATGGTGAGTGGTTACCGTCTCCCATGGACTTCAGCAATGCCAGGGGCAGAGCCAAGCCGCTGCTTACCAATGTTTCATACATTCTGACTTTATTAAATAGTAGATTATTTAAAAAGAAACAAGATCAGAAAATGTGCTATGATTTACCTGATATATGTGTTTAATGCGAGTTTTTAGTTCTCGATAGCGTAAAAGTTAACTGAAATGTGTATGCAGTTAAAACAGCGCTCCTAGCAACAAACGTAGGCAACTGACAAGAAATGAGAACCTATACTTACTATAGGGAGTTTTTTTTCTTCTAGTGTCACTTTATTTTTGAATTTACTTTTCGTTGACAGTGCGGTTGCGTATTTTAAGAGGCAATGAAAAATTATCAATTTTTCAATTTTATGAAAAGCCAGAAAAGTTTATAAAGAAGGTTTTTATTTTAAAACGGCCATGTACATTATCTATCGATATTATGACCAATGTACTCCTCCAGTTGGGCTCTCGTGAGGCCGGAATGTTGTTGAGCATCGAGTATCGCACTAGCGGCTCCGTCCCAGGACCACATGAGGCGACTGCTGAATGTCTCTATCATGTCTAATCGTGCTTCTTCCAGAATGTAATATTCACTACGAGGTTTCCTATCTTTACCTATACTAAAATAGTATTTTAGACCACTTTTTTTCGATAGCTGCGATGACCAGGGCTCTGAAAGAGTAAACAAAAATTATACATAAAACCGACGATAAAAAAAAATTTAAGTTATCATTCAAGAAATTATTAGCATCATGACTAAGGTATGTATGTCGATTTCTGCCAAAGGCTATATACATTTTGAACAATCACCTTTTATCTCTTTCAAGAAAAGCACAGATCCAACCACGTAAAACATTTCGTTTCTGCGCAATGGATCCGGCGCATCAATTGTAACGGCTCTCTTCACTCGCTTCATAGCTCTGTATTCGAGATTGTTGACTACCGAAGCAAAGTGTTCCATGCCGAACATCTTCTTACATCTGACTTGAAGTACGTGAGCATCAAAGGGCTTACTTAGGGCAGTGCAAAATATGTTGCATTGGTTTATCCTGAAAAATCATATCATTAGGTGTGTACCTGTTCAAATATTATAAGAAACTTCTAAAACCCTTGTGTTCCTTAACACGCCTATTGGAAGTCTAAAGAAAGTAGAAAAATAAATAAACTAGGTATAAAATAGTAATGACTTATCGTTTTTGTAAATTAATATTTCGTGAATAGTATTTACTCCGGTTTGTAGTTCACGTGCAACATTTTAATAGTTGTTGTAAAAAATGAAATTTTTGTAAAAATCCAAAATGGGTGTTTGGTTACCTTAAAACGAACAATTATTACAATTACAAGAAAAATGTGCTAAAATAAATAAAAAAAGCGAAAATTCTATACTACATGAATCCACTATAGAATTATTTTGTCCGTGTAGTTTGGGTCATAAAACACATAGCCCGGCTAGGGCGGTGAGCATGTTGCGCGGGCGCAACGCCATTATCGATAAAAACAAATGAGTATCGAAGGCAGGTACACGGCGGCGGGGTGGTATACGAAGGGTGATGAGACATTGTTATGTTATGAGTCATTTGTTGTACCTACCTGCAAATTATAGTACGTCGAAGAGAAATGTGATTTTGTGCATTCGCTCTCTGAATCTCTGAATCTGCTTGCACAAGCAAGTGTTATTATCAATAATGTGTTAAAATTTTTCACTGAAATGAGAATGGATCTCGAAAAGTTACAAAGTGTTAATTTCTGCCGTTCTCGTTAACTTGCTGCGACGATATGTGGTGTAATGGTTCGATTAGTATTTTTTCTTTCATTTTTATCACTAACCCACAAAATGACAAAACTAAATACACTATCGATAGCGTTTATCGACAACAATAATGCGCATTACTATGCCCGTCCATAAGACTCGTGAGTGAAAGAGAGAGCGAAATACTCGCTTCACCGCTCCGATTTTTTATGACCCAAACTGCACGGACAAAATAATTCTACTATAGATATTTGCTTAATTATTGTGCATATATTTATATATATAAGAACGCGATTAAATTCGCATGAATGAGCATGTGTGTGTATAATCAAATACTAACCTTTCATTCAAGGGGTATCCAGAGATATCAACTCCTCCCAACATAAGTGCGTCCACAATATGTAAAGATTTGCTGTACATCTGATTGTTGCCTTGGCCACGATATTCTTTAACGATCTATAACAGCGAAAGTTAATGTTTTTATGGCTGTAATAATAATAACCCCCAGGTTAGTGATGGTAAGANTGTGTGTGTATAATCAAATACTAACCTTTCATTCAAGGGGTATCCAGAGATATCAACTCCTCCCAACATAAGTGCGTCCACAATATGTAAAGATTTGCTGTACATCTGATTGTTGCCTTGGCCACGATATTCTTTAACGATCTATAACAGCGAAAGTTAATGTTTTTATGGCTGTAATAATAATAACCCCCAGGTTAGTGATGGTAAGAAAAGACGATATTATTATTTTCTCCAATATGGACCTTTTAAGATAAGGAGGAGGCATAATAATATCAAACTTCATGAAATACTTTTGCAAAATTGTCGAAAACAAAATAAAACAGAATAGGGTTTATTTCTTCTATTACATAAAAAAAACTCTGTTTTAAAAAAAAATAGTTATCATTAAATATTTACTGATTGATTAATTAATTAACTTAATACACATTAACGGTATTATTAAATGTATTTTTTGGTAATTAGTCTTCGCTCAATGATCAAATTTCCACCTTAGACTCGAAGATATTAAGATTTAGATTAGTTATATGTATTAAAATATCTCTTTTAATTTGTTATTGACATTTCGTCAAAAAAACAACGGTTTCTTATAACTACCAAACAAAAAAATATCAGTATAAAATCACGGGAGAAAGTAGTACCAAAATATTTGGTCATTGGTTCTTATTATGTTACATAATCGTGATATGGACAAATAGGAAACCAAACTAACAAAGAATCGTGGTAAACATAAAAAATTAATGAATTGGAGTCCGATGTACCTGAGTACAAAGATTTCTTTTAGAATTTAGTATAGATTAGGAGTGGGTGATATAAATCGTATATAGATTCAATATCTATATATCGCAGCAATATCGTTGAATCCGATATCGCCCCGCACGAAATCTATATATCGATATCAGCCGATACACGATATTGCTCGATGTGATGCGCATCGCCATATCGGACCGATTCGTGAATCGAAATCTATATTTCGATATCAGCCGATACACGNCTTTAAATTTGTAAAGAAATTGTACAAAATTAATTTACCTATGAATATTTTTAAATCGGGACAATTTTTACCGCTGCTCAGGAACATGAAGTGCCAGTCGTATACATTCTTGAAATTTGTCAAATCACCTTCCACCTCTATGTATTCAGGTTTCTTGTTTAATATATTCGTTTTGAAATTGAACAGACTGTGAGGATTGGGTGTTTTTAATGTGGACAAAATGTTTTTTAATGTTTCATCGGGATTGAGGCGTTTTGGTTGAGTTCTGACTTGATCTGGCAACTGTAACCGAAACGGATTCTTTATACTTATCCTCGCTCGTTAAAACCCAAATAACTTAGGGAAACTGTAAACTCATCATTTGTACGGTCGAGAATTTGAAGCACTTACATTCCAGAGTTGCAAGCACTGTTCTTTCATTTCAGCTTGATAAATTTCTTTCAAAATTTTGTGTTTGCTAAATGCAGCTATCTTAAGTAAATTTTGTATTTGCCTTTCGCCGAGACTAAAAAGAAGTTAGATCGGATTAAATGGTGGTACTGCACTATCATATGATTGAATAAAGTTCAGACAAATAAATTCAATATTGGAATATTACGACATCTAATTATTATACTAACATGCAGTTACTCTTGTAAACGTATTCGAAAAATTCAGTATCTTCCTGTATGACGTCAATAGGAACTAGTTCTAAAATATCAATATCACTGTTAGTACTGTTCCATAGGATCGAGTTCACAGTGTAAAGGTGATGTTCTGCTGACTCGGTCCATGACCTCTTCCACAGACAAATCAGGTACCTCTCAGAATTTGCAGGTCTGGAAGTCACTGGTTTATGAATACAAACTAAAACATAAACATATTCATTTATTAATGTACGCCAACATAGACAACGGAAACCGCCAATAACATCAGCGAATTCATATTTAATTTATCTATCACACATGCTTTAAGTGTATTACTAGTAAACTTTTTGTTTTCTTTAATTCAATAAATTCATAATTTCATTAATTTAAAAAAAAACATGCATACANAATGGTCTTTCACCCCTTGATATAATCTGCCATACTTGCTAAACCTGACCCTGATCCTGATTATTGTTGCTTTTGCATTTCAGACAATTTTGTAGAATGAATGGCGATAATTTCAAGTAGCAGTAAAATTGCTTTTATATGCATTGTAATGTAGATCCACAAGAGTTTTATCACAACATCATTATGACACTTCTTCAACATAACATTAAGGTAAAAGCACTAATGCTAGACACTTTAAGGACAAATCAAACTTCATTCTCAGTTATCAAATGTATTTATCAAATATTATATTAAATCTTTTTTTTTACTGTTAGAGCAACATTTAGAGATCAATTTTTTCATATAAAATATTTCAATACTGTTGTAGTTTCTACAAAAAATTACAAACTTGTTAGTTTTGCCATAGACACTAAAAGATGACAGCATCGAAAATCAAATCCACCAAAAATTGACATCAGTTGGCACTAATAATAGACACGACTTTAACGTTAGTTTTATTATAAACAATTATAATCAATCTCAAGATCATCAACTATTTTCTTAACGCTATCTTGTAAATTATCTTTTCCTATTGGAAACCCTTGTTTGACCATAGCTTTTAACCATGTTACGAGTATTTTTTC